ATAAAATGTCTTATGAAACGAATATTTTATACTATTTTTTCTATTTTGGTATTGTTTAATTAAAAAAAACAAATTTTCCTTGGAAATTTTATTCTCATATTTCCTGATTTCATGTTTGGGTTGGTAACACTACACGCCAAATATAGAAATCTTCGCTCAGCACGCTCTGCTTTTTGAGCAAAATACCGAACGCAAGGCAAGGCGAGAAATAACGTGCTGCCTCTACGTCAAAGCTAGTGATTTGGGGGGGATAGGGGGGATTTGTTCCACACAATGAACTATAGCCAAAAACTGGAATGCGCACACATTGCCATATCTGCCAAAAAAATGTAGCCATGAAAGACAGATAATGCCGGGAAATGTTGTTTTTTTCTGTTGCTCGCTGACATACCTATGACGTTTTCGAAAGATTTGTCATATTTTCCTTCACAGTGTTGGAAGCAATTTCCGCCATTTAACATAATGAGTGCGACAGAAACAGGTTTCCCCTCCGCAGCAGCGGCACTAGGCTTCACGTTCGTCAATATGTGTACGCATTCCAGTTTTTGGTTATAGTTCATTGGTTCCACACAAGTCTTATGAGGATAGGTTATCCTGTAGTAGTAGTGTGTATCATCCTTGCTAAACTACGACCTCTAGTGCAAACAGCTGAAGACTTGTTAATGACGTCGGAAATGGTGACATACCAATAGCCGCTTTCCAGTATGCACATTGGCGCGCTCCAGAGCACCTCGGGGGTGCCACGCACTAGATTTGTACCGTTCCAGTATCATGGCGTGAGACGCCTGTGTTAGTGTCAAATATGTCAAATTTTAAAAAAATTATCTGTTTGTTTGTGCAGTTTGTTTTTTTATTTATCATAAATGAAAGAGAATCAAAACTATATATTTTAAAATGTTCAATCTTGAGATATAACAAGAAATAAATAGATAAATAGCCACCCACAGATGTGACAGCTGATAGGTTGACGCGTACGAACAGCTCGGGGGCTCAAGCCCCGAGTAGCCCCGGGCGGCACACTCCCATACTAGAAAGCGGCTAATATGGCGGCGATTACCAAAAACGAGGCCGATAAGCATTCCTAGTAGTGTGTATTATCCTTGGGCTGTTTGCACCACAGCTTATGACTACGCGGGCTTTTGGTTTATGTATAATGCATACTTGGTTTTTCTATATTAATTAACATTCCAATGGCCATTTCCACCAACCACTTTAGGAGAGCCCTAACGATAAGACAAAACAACTGCTTTTTGGATCTCGTTTACATTTTCCTCTTAGCCTATTGTGTTAATCAAAATTAAATGATATTTTTCATCACAAATTCAAATTTTAAACTAGAACCGCTGGCGTAAACAGCTGACGACTTAGCTAATGACGTCGAAAATGGTGGTACACCAATATGGCGGCGAATACCAAAAACGAGGCCGATAAGCAATCATTAGTAGTGTGTATTATCCTTGGGCTGTTTGCACCACAGCTTATGATGACAATACGGGCTTTTGTATGGATGCCGCGATACTCAAAAAATATCGAAATGGCATGTAATATTGACAGTTGAGTTTTAGAGGGCGCTTCTGTACTTAGAGTTCTTTGAGTTTTGGCGCGTGAATAATTGAATGTAATTTTAACCTCAAAAGTCAAGTTTCATGTGTGATTTCAAGACAAGCTGACGCTGACACTTTTGAATTTGAAAATACTCTTTAAGGGCCACTGAACGTTTTGGAACATATTTTAACTTATTCACTGTTCATTGTTCATATGTAGTCATCTTTCCTTCTACTTTTTAAAATGGTTTAAAACTATTGACATTTACCGCCAAAATTCAAAGCACTCCAAGTTCACTTGCGCCCTCTTAAAAATTTTGAGGAACTTGACTGGATATTTGCTGCCATTGGTATCGTCAGCTTCAAGGATGATACACACCTATAGGATTGCTTATCGTCCTCGTTTTTGGTTATCGCCGCCATATTGGTGTGTCGACGTTTTCGACGTCATAACTAAGTCGTCAGCTGTTTAAACAGCCTACGTTAAGACGAGCCTACGTCACAACTAGTGATTTGGGGTAGGGGGGATTTGTTCCACACAGGCCCTATGAGGATAGGCTATCCTGTAGTAGTAGTGTGTATCATCCATGAGTCAGGGACGCGTGAAATTATAAACGCCAATCATGATAAACGTCAATTTCAAACATACAAAAATGGCATTTCTAGGAGATTTCATTACTTGTTTTGACTTCCGACCTGAGTGCATGAAAAATTTTACCAACATCGACACTTTGAAAAAAACTGAAAAGATTTAGCTGGAAAAACTATATTGGTAAATTATCCGTATCGAAAATAATATCGATACGAGCATATTTTTCCTATACATCTCAGTATCGAATGGCCGAAGGATCGATACAAAATATCGGATATCGCCTAAGAAAATATCGATACCTAAAAATATCGAAAATATCGCGGCACCCTAGGCTTTTGGTTTATGCCTCGCCGGTTTATGCATAATGCATACTTGGTTTTTTTATGTTAATTTACATTCTAAAACAACTGCTTTTTAGATCTTGTTTACATCTTCCTCTTTGCCTATTCAGTTAATCAAAGTTGAATGATATTTTTCATCATAAATTCAAATTTTCAACTAGGACTGCTGGCGCAAACAGCTGACGACTTAGCTAATGACGTGGACAATGGTGATACACCACTATGGCGGCGATTAACAAAAACGAGGCCGACAAGCAATCCTCTCGATTTTCAAGGCCGCATCAATGCTAGGAAAGATTCAAAAGTTGCTCGAGTTTTTGTGATTGACAAAACATTGCATAACACGCTGTCTTTCTCTTTCCCTTTTCATCCCGTGTAAATAAGAAGGATGGATTACTATACGTAAGTCTAACATGATTTCGTACGTTTTGACTCGTCTTGCGCGTCTTATTTTATCATGGAGCTTTCGTATTATTACCTCTTTGTCTGGTAAAAAAGATAGGTCTATTGGATTGTATTTCAAATGGTTTGATCCAATTTTGATGTGACGTCATGGGTTCATCGCGAGAATAGGTAAAATACTGCTTCAAACATGTTTTGAACCAGTTTAGAAAAAAATGCACGCGAGAAAACAGCTGCTGTATGAAAAAAATTGGGCAACATAAATCAGCTCGTTCGAACTACTCTGCCACCCATGGGCTGGGATCACGACAAGTAGAATTCTACTTTCATGACGTCAGCCGCGATTTATTTATCGCGTACAGAACAGGCGATGATGACGGTTGCTAGGAAACCTGACGTCATGAAAGTAGAATTCTAGTAGAATTATACTTGTCGTGATCCCAACCCTGAACAGAAAAAAAGAGTGCACCTATTCGTTACACCAAATAATGTCTGGGTCAGGTCAAGGATGATACACACCTATAACAGGATTTCTTATCGGCCTCGTTTTTTGTAATCGGCGCCATATTGCTGTGTCACCATTCCCGACGTCAGAACTCGTCAGTTGTTTAAACAGCACACGTCAAGGCGAGAAATAACATGCTGCAACGTCACAACTGGTGATTTGACGCGTTTGTGGGGGAAGGGGAGGATTTGTTCCACACAGGCCTTATGAGGATAGGCTATCCTGTAATAAGAAATTTTGACAGATGTGACGTGATTTGACACGTGGAAAAAGATAAGTGATCACGTGAAAAAGCGTGAAGTCCGTCGACTGACAAGACTGCGTTCGATAACCTATGAGGCATGGATGAAGAAATTGAACATGAACTATAAACAAAACAAGGGTTAAGCAAACATCATTTGGAATTAGATGTGCCGACATAGAACCCCTGTGGCATGCATATTGTCAGTTAAAATACGAGTTATATTGCAATAATAGAATGAGCAGAAATTAAGCCTCAATTTATTAAAACACAAGGAAAACATCATCAAAGCTAATGAGCGATTTGAGGGAGGGATTGAACGTAGATTTCAATTTGCTTCTGCTTATTCTGATATGACTAGTTGGCTAGCTAGGATCAGTTCAAGGTTCCTAAGGATCAGTTCTTGCTCGAAGACAAAAATTTAATCTTCGCGGGGAACTATGTACTACTTCCATGATTTCATGAACACAAACGCTTTTGCGAGAAACTGATGACGTCATATAGAACGTAGTTCGCAGGGAGCATGGACGCAGCTTCTAGCCAGCGTTCAAACTCATGACGTCACAATACGAACAATGGTTCGTACTTGGATGAACTAATGATGAACTACATTCCTCGTGAAAATTCGTTTGATGCAAATAACTACTTGTAAAGAAAGCCAAACTTAGAAGTTCCGTAGGTTATTTGTCATTTTATACGTTCTGTTTAGTTAATTCGTCAGAAAAGCTCTCTACAGTTTTTGTTGAATAAAGCATATTTCCGGAGGTTTCTAAATTTTTATTGTCTAATAGGTTGTCTGGTAATTGACAACTTGATGACGCATCTGGGGTGCCTTATGGAGATTTGCATTATGTTGAGGCACCCCAGATAACGTCATAAATTTATTAGGCAACCTACCTCTCTCAGGGCCGGTTTCTGAATATCAAGTCACCCCCAGGTTATGCGGGTTAAGCATAACTCCAGGGCCGAGTTCAGAAATAACGCACCGGGTGCGAGTGCGATTTTATGGGTGTGCCTGAATTGACAATTAGCCATTGGGCCCATAGGACCGTCTAGCATTTTTGAACAGCTAGGGCGTCGCACCGGTGTCACACTCACACTGGGTGTGTCATTCCTGAACTCGCCCCAGGGTAAACATAGGAACTGGACACGCTTACCCTGGAGTTAAAACCAACCCAGGTCCCAGAGGTGACTCGCTATTGAGAAACCGGCCCTCAAACAACCTTGGTCTACGCTAGTCAAGTCCCTTCTTTGGCTCCTTTTATCTTTTGAAAATAGTTTTTTTTTTAGTTTTGCTCCGATAATCATGTTTTCGAACGCGCTCCAGATGTTTTTTATTTGGAATTGACATATGGGTCATGTGACCCATGCGTCTTGCACGTCTACGTCATCCGTCATCTACTTGTCTTAACCTCAAAAAAAAAAGGCGGCCCACTGTCCGCTACCCACCATCAAAAACCATATTCTTTATTTTTTCTGTTTTTTGTTTTTGTAGTAATCATACTCATACTACACATTTTCTCGTACAAGAAGTATTAGTAATAACTGAATATGGCTACAATGGTATCTGCTTTCGCTATGTACCAAAAAAACCAAAAGAAACGTGAGGCTCCATCGGAAATGCCGGTCCAGTCCAAGAAATCCAAAAAGGCGAAGAAAACTGAAAATTCACCGAAAGAAAATGGTAAACATGTAATGATGAGTGTCCCTCCAAAATCCAGCCCTCAGTCAAAAGCCAAAAAGGTCAAAAAAGCCAAGAAAAATAAAATGGAAGTGAAAGTAATCGAAAACGGGCATCATGTAAGTTCTGATGAAGAAGAAATTCCCACTTTGGTACCTATAATGAATGAATCAAAAGTAGTACAGATCAATGGAAAACAGGAGGTCAATGGCAAACCGATTAAAAAATTGAAGAAGAAAAAACTACCTGATCCCAATCAAATCCAAGTGTTCAATCCTGTAACTCAAGGCCTAGCAATATTCAAGTGGCTTATAGATCCAGTATCTCCAAGAGAATTTTTCGATAAATATTGGGAACAAAAACCATTACTCATTAAACGTTCTGACACAAAATATTTCAAGCATGTTTTCAGTTCATCACAACTAGATAACATCTTAAGAGATCACCCTTTGCATTTTACACGAAACGTGGATGTAGTATTATATCAAAACGGGAAAAAAGAAGTAATGGACGAAGAAGGGCGTGCTTTGCCAGCAAAGCTTTGGGATTTTTACACCAACGGTTGTAGCATCAGAATCTTAAACCCTCACACTTATGACCAAAATGTTCATTCTATAATTGCCAGTTTGCAAGAGTATTTCGGCACAATGGTTGGTACTAATGTCTATCTTACTCCGCCCGAGAGTCAAGGATTTGCACCACATTTTGATGACATTGAAGCTTTCATTGTTCAACTGGAAGGGACTAAATATTGGAAATTGTATAAACCAGTGTAAGTAGCTGAGCCTAATTTGGATTAGCTGATCTAAAAAGCTGTTTTTGCATTTGTGGATCCATGTTTCTATTAAGTTTTTTCTTATTTTAATGAGTAATACTTGTCCTAGAAGTTTGATCCCAAGATTCATCAACACCCTGTACATATATTATTCTCCGGCTTCATCACGTAACTGCTGTACGAAAAGAAATTCGCTTTCAGTTTGTTTTTCAAATTGTACCTAATTCAGGGAATATTCGTGAACATTGGGAAATTTCTGAGAATATTCGCTGATAAAAAATGGAAACATTCTCCTGACTGAGAATATTCCCGGAAACTTTCAATCTAAAACTCTCAAAAGAATATTTCCGAGAACTTTCGAGAATATTTTCAAGAACTTTCCAGAATTTTATAAAAATGCGAGATTATTGCGAATACAAGGTCTCAGTGACGTGATTTCAATTTATCTGGACGACGTAGCCCAGTCCAACTGTCTTTATGGAAACGCTGATCCAATTTACCCGATCACCAGCTGATGTACCTACAGTTTGTCTTTTTTTTAAATAATCTTCATTGAAGAAAGATAAAAAATAAAGAGTGGAGAGATTGGGTTAATCGGATTAGCTTTTCCTTTAAAGCCTTATTCAACCATCCATGAAAGTGTTTTTACTACATAGTTTAATTTTTAGCTGATCTTACAGAAAAAAAATAGGTGTTTTTTTTGATTTATAGTCTATAGTCAGTACACTACAATAATAGGTAAATAAAGCTTACTACGATTTGTCTGATTTAGCTATAAATTAAATAAAAAAACAATATTTCCATAAGTTCCCGAAAGTTTCCAATATTCCTGGAAAGTTTCAAAGAATGTTCGCAGCTTTTAAATGTTTCAGGAATTTTACATCACTAGCAACAAGACCCTAATTTATTCAACAAAATTGGAAGGAGTTCAATTCATGTTTTGTGTGGTGTCTTGAATCCAATTCTTCAGGAAAAATACATTATAACAGCAAGTTTAGAATGGCTTCAAAGAGGATATTGATGTTGTTTGGAGAACAGAAATGATGTAAAAAAGAATGCAACTTTTCCAAAAATCAATCACTGGAACAGGGTGTTCCATTTAAAAAACAGTTCATCTATTCCGTATTTTTTAGGGTTTTTGCTTCAAATGATGTTTTCGTACAGTCCTTGTTTAGTCCTCTTTGGAACAACCTGTAGATTGACTATCCGAATAGTAAACTTGGTTGATTTTGATTGATCCTATTATGTATTTCAGTGACAAAGATGTCCTAACCAGAGACTCCAGCACCAATTTCAAACCTGAAGTTTTAGGAGATCCTTTCATGGAAGTCGAACTAAATGCAGGTGATTTGTTGTATTTTCCAAGAGGTACAATACATGAAGGTAAAATTTGTGTTTCGAAAAAAATTGAAAAATTTTTAATAATATTTTTAAAGGCCGCACCAAAGAGGATGCTCATTCTCTCCACATAACGGTGTCCGTTTACCAACACACTGCTTACATTGACCTTTTGGAACAAGCCTTACCTGCAGCTCTTAAAAAAGCTGCCAGCGAAAATGTAGAGTTCAGGAAAGGATTGCCTTTGAACTATCTAAAACATCTTGGAGTCGTTAACAAAGATCAACAATCCAAAAATCGAAAATTAATTATAAATAAAATTAAGTCTTTGACAAGTTCATTGGTGGATTATTTGGATGTGGATTCAGCAGCAGATAATTTAGGACGTAAATTTATGTATGATGCTATGCCACCATTGTTTTCCAAAGAGGAAGCTAAATTTTCTTGTAAATTTGATGGAGATTTTATGGCCAATGGAGTAGTACGAAACAGGTATTTTTGATTTATTTTTTTGAAAATAATAAGTAACTTGATTTATTTAGGTGCGAGATTACTCCAGAAATCAAAATCCGTTTGTTGAGATATTACGCATTGAGAGTCGTCCAAGAGTCAGATACTACTTCAAAAATCTATTTCTGTACTGAAAATGCAAAGACCTATCACGGAGAAGACGAACAATATTTGGAAATTAATAATTCACTAATTCCAGGAATTCAAATGTTGCAAAAGGAGTATCCAGAATTTGTTGGTAAGAAATTTTCTCTGCAAATTGCTGGACTTACTAAATTGAGTTCTGGCGCTTTGGCCTATTCTGGATAATTTTTCTAAGAACTCAATTCTTAGTACAGTAAATAGAGACAAATAAATCGCATTTGCTAAAAAAAAAAAATACTTAATGGCTGAAATTTTGAGGGTGTGTTCGGGGGCATGTCCTGAGTCTAAAACTGAGTTTTCGTATTCGAGGGGGTTTGGGAAGATACTACCCCCTCTTTATGTAGGGTTGAGTTCGTTTTAATTCCTTATTTTCGGTGCTATTGCCCGTGCCGTCAAGTCCGAGAAATCAAATTTGTGGCAAAAAAAATATATATGTAATGATAATAAAATCAAGGTGATAGGACGATTAGGTGAATCACAATGGCCGGTCAAAGGTCAAAAGTGGGGGTAGTTTTTGGTTTTTCGTGAATACCTTGAAACCGGTAGGTTTTTTCGCATACTGCTTAGATACCATTTCGAAGTACTTGAAATTACCTACGAAATGAGTGCTCAAACACTCCTCTATTGTGCATAGTTTGCCGTCAATCCAACGACCAAGTTGACCGCGCGCGCCGATGTTGACTGCGCGCGCTGTACGCTCAACTTGGTCGTTGGATTGACGGCAAACTATGCACAATAGAGGAGTGTTTGAGCACTCATTTTGTAGGTAATTTCAAGTACTTCGAAATGGTATCTAAGCAGTATGTGAAAAAACCTACCGGTTTCACGGTATTCACGAAAAAGCAAAAATTACCCCCCACTTTGGCCATTGTGATTCACTTACTCGTCCTATGACCTTGATTTTATTATCATTACATATATAATTTTATTTCCCACAAATTTGATTTCTCGGACTTGACGGTACTGGCAATAGCACCGAAGATAAGGAATTAAAACGAACTCAACCCTACATAAAGAGGGGGTAGTATCTTCCCCCACCTCCTCGAATACGAAAACTCAGTTTTAGACTCAGGACATGCCTCCGAACACACCCTCGAAATTTCAACCATTGTTTTTTTTTTTTAGTAAAATATCCCTATTCTGTACTATCTCTCATAAACAAGCTCTGTTATTTTTTTCTTTAGTTGCTGAAGACTTGCCAATAAAAGATGAAATGGAAAAACTAGCTCTAGTTTCGTCAATGTGGGAGCATGGACTTTTAGTAACTGAGGAACGTTTACCAAATGTTGACAGTGACTCTGGTAGCGATTTGGATAGCAGTGGTTGGGTCGATTGGGATGTCAGTGGAGCCAGCGATGCTACTTCTTCTGATGATCACTAATTTATATATTTTTTTTATTTTCTTTACTGTTGCATATTTAAAAATGCCATACGTTTGTAATAAGAAATACATTTTGATTTAATAAAATATTTTTTGAGTTTTGACTAATTTTTGTGAAGTGTATTTCTTCGTGGGGATTCTGAATTAAAAAGAACCATATGTTTTGGCTAAATAAATTTTGTTTATTTGGCTAAAAAAAAAATTAAATACAAATAAGCTTTCCAAGACAAAACAGAGGACAATCATAACCAGGAGGTAAAAAAAAACACACACATAATATACATAGAAACTAAAATAAAAAAATCACAGAAAAATGATGCAAATTCATAATTACTTGTACAAGATTATAATAAAAAACAAAAACTCTCTAAACACTTGAGTAGCATACATACATATTCTGATTTCTAAACTAATGTTTACTATAATCTAATAGTATTTACAAAGAGAACTGTGAAATAGGATTTTTCAATGTACTTTGATTACCTAATTTAATTTTTATTGATAAAATAAAATGAGGATTTTTTTTTTTTTAATGGTGATTTCTGTATGGCAAACATGTATACATTGACATTTTGAAAGTTATATAACAGACTTAGGTCCGGTTTATCAGTGGATGGCTATTTAGTTTAGCTGTCGGTTAACTATAAGTATTATTATTATTATAGTTAACTGACAACTAAATAACCGTTCACTAATAAATCGGTCCTCGAAGCAATAGTCTCGTCATATTTTCACCGCTGCGCCAGTGCAAATAATAGATCTAGATAAATTAGGACTGCCTAAGTAGAGACATAATGTGTTTTGGGTTACACTCAGTTTCTCAGATTTTGAACTGTCATAATTTAATGCAATAATTAACGCCCTCTATTATTATAGTATAGTTCATGCAATATAAAACAACCTATTGTTGGAATTCCATCCTCCGGTGAAGAAAGTGCTTTATTCGAGAAGGGATTCTCTAATAATGTATAATTACAGTTGACATTTTTTTATAAATTTTGGGCAATATTTCTTAATTTTAATAGTGAGAGGGATTTGTTGGATTTGCTATTTGCAAATTCAAAGTTTCGCATGCATACTACCATTGACTTATTTTAAATTAGATTGGTAAGTAATGTCTGCCCAGCGACTCTATGTCTACGGGGCAAAGGTAAAGGGAATGCAGTTGTAAAAAAAATGGCTGATTTCATTCATAAAATACCCAGCTGCGTGCGGAACTTTTTAGAAGTATTATCGTATTGCAACTCGTTCACGAAAATCGAGAATGACCAAACCGCCGCCACTGGATATTTCAATATAAATCGATATTCCAAGATGGGAGAATAAAATGACAAGAACCCTGGTCATTAGCGAGATGTAAGGTGACAACGGCGATCCTGCCAAAAATTCCACCAATCAGTTTCATAATCTGTGGGTTCATCCAGGTCGGATCCTTGCCAAATTGTCAAAAGCTGATGGATTCTTTAGGAAATTTTTATTTTTTACAATAGACAAAATTGAAGATTCAGTTATTAAAATAAGCATAGATCTAACAACCACGTTGAAATATTTAGCGTTTTATCGTTATCTACATTTTGTTATTAAAAAATTGATTTTCAAATGAACTATACTTCATGCCTAGTATTTTCGCTTTTTTATAATTAAACGTGGCAACATCGCACATTCAAGTCCGAATTCCTTCAGTAAATTCAGAACCGCTGGGCAAACAATATATCAGTAAAACCGGTAAAACCCATACTCTCACTAATATTTGCACTGGCATTAAAATGGCAAACAAGAATAAAAAAGGCTAACCAAAACAGTACACAAACTCTTATTACTGCTTCATTTCTCCCAAACTCTCATTCAAATCGTTTACAATCATTTCCAAAGTCTTTTCAGTACCATCATCTTCTATGTGGCTAATTGTCGTTACTTCCATTTCAATATCCTCATCCAAATCTGCCAATAATTGTTCTTCCAGCCTAAGATCAACTTCATCATCCAAGGGAAAATTATTATCTGGAGAAAGATTTTCGTGGACTAGAGCAACATCAAGTTGATTATTGTGTGATAACTCGCCAAAATCCGTTCCATAATTTTTCTCTTTATCTTCATAGACCAGAACTACAGTTTCGTTGTCTCCATCATCCATTGGTTCCTTTGACTTAATTTCCTCTTTCATGCCAAGGTCAGACTCACAGTCTCCTAGATTGCTACCAAGCTCTATATCTTTTGTGAAATCTTCATTATTTTCAATTGGTAAAAATTGTAAATTGCAACTACTTGTAGTTGATGTTGAAGGTAAGCATGGTTCTAGTTCAGCTTCAATGGTTTGATTACTTTCAGTTTCTTGTTGAATCAAAACAGCAACAGTTTCAACAGTGAGTTTATTTGGTTCGGCACTTTTGACGTTTTCAGCAGCATGTTTGGTAACTTCAATAACTTCAACATTATTTTGTACCTTATCAATCTCTGGAGTATGTGAAACTGGGTCAATAATATCTGGAGCAATATCTTCACTGTTGAGAGTCTCTACTGAGAGTAGTGGTTCCAAATTGTCTTTGTTCAAATGAGACGTTTTTTCATCAAGTTGTTTGATGTTCTCTCTAGTTGGAGCTTCCAAATTTTCCTTATTATTAGAATCTTCAACTGCAGTATTTTTTGAGTCTTCAATTGGATCAATAATTGTGTCATGTGTAAGGTCTTCACTTGTTTCTTCCTCAATAACTTTTAGGTTTTCTAAATTTTCAAAAGTACCTTCTTCTGCTACTAGGGTATTTTTTATTGTAATAGCTACTGCTGGACTAGTAAATGTTTCAGTTGCTTCTTTTTCTTCTGCTAATGTTTGAGTTTCTTCAATTTGTAAAGCTGTATCATTGTTTGATTTAATTTCTTCAATGTGCTCAAGCTCAGTCTCTTTCACTATTTCTTGACTTTTCAGCAAAATTTCACCTACTTCTTGAGTCTGAACTATATTATCTTCAGTTGCCATTTCTAAATGATCTTTTTCTAGCATTGAAATATCTTGTCCGGCTTCTCTAATTTGAGCATTATCACTTTTGAAATTAAACATTTCTAAAGTTCCAGTTCCGTGATTAACTTGTTGTCCATCTATTTGAGCCAAAGGATCAACTTCAGCTTGCGGAAGAACAATCATAGTATCTGAAGTTCCACTTTGTCTATGATCCAGGGTTAAAACTTCAAGAGGTTTCACTGACACGCTCCCAATTATTTTGTTAATTTTAGCACTTTCCATTGTGGCTTCTTTGGATGATTGTACATCTTCCATAGGTTTTCCTTGGTTATTGTCACTAGAACGAGGTTCTTCAGAAACATTTGCCATACTGTGAATATTTGTTATCATAAATTCAGATTTTTCTTTCTGAGGAGATTCTACAGAGTTGAAGGTAATAATTGATTCGTTCATTTCTTTTTTGAATTGGTTTATGTCTACAGGTTGGAGCTTTTTTTGTTTGATATTTATCACTCTGAAAGAACATATTATGTAAATGAAGGTTGCAAATTAATATGCTTACATACCCTGATGTATTAGGACTATTTATTTCTGCTATATTAACCAACGGACTATCGTAATTGCCCATAATTTCTTCCTCTTCTGCTTGATCTAAAATAATCAATTTTTATTACATTTTAGTTATATTGTGGCTTTTTATACCTTGGGGTATCCAGTTAAGACTATTTTCCTCAACATCCACAGGTTCGACCTTAATTTCGCCTACTTCTTCAATGAAAGGATCATCTTGATCAGTGTGAGGTTCTCGAACAATGGTAGCGTCATTGGAGTCTTTTGGTGAATCATCGTATTGTGTATGGAAAAATTTGGGGACTTTAACGTTTGGCCTAGATCGGGTACCTTTTCTTGATTCGAAAGGTACTGGTGATGACTAAAATGGAAAAACGTGTTTTCTTTAAGATAAATAATATAAATGCTTTTACATAACATAATAGCTTTGCCAGCTGCTTACATAATTTGGGAATTTTAACACTTCAATATTAACGTTCAGGCGTACAGTACGTATAAGCAAAATTGAGTTTGGCAAAAAATGCAAACCTATCTGAATGGATCATATTGGACCGTCCTAAGTTCATACTGTAAACCAATATGATATTTGGAGGCAAAATGTTCAAAAGTAGTAATTGAAAATTGACTTTATTATATAGTTTGAATAATATTTCTCTCTAGTATGTATCCAAAAATCACTTACATCGTCTACATCTTCCTTATACCTCCTCTTCCTAGCTTTTCTTCCTAATCCTTTTCTAACTGGCACATTACCTCTTTCTCTCAACCTTCCAGAAAGAACATTTTTAACCATGACAGGAGCCTCGTCTTTAGCTATCTCTTCATAGACTGGCTGCAGAAGATCCAATGGGTCATTAATATTGTCTTTTCTCAAACGCGGTTTTGAACGTTCCTTAAAAAAAAAAATTATATTATTTTTCCAATTCTTATAAAATCTCTTACCAAAGCTTTCTCTTTGGTAACATTAATCTCAATTTTATTTTTTTCGCTTCTTCTACGAGAAGTATGTGTGGGTCTAAGAGTTGAGGATCTTATCACTCTTTTGCTGGTAGAAGAAATCTGAAAAAATCAGAATAAGATAATGTTTAAAACACGGCATTCTCCTTTACATTGGCTTGTTGTTTCTGAGGTGCAATTTTTTCAATATTTTTCTCTTTTTCCTTTATAGCAAGCTTCGCCTTCTTCTCTTCCCTTCTTCTGGAAATAGATAAAGGTCTACGACTTTCAATTGCTTCATCTTTCTGAGATGCTACGACATTATGCTTTGAGAATCGACTTGAATAGTTATGTCTTGTTCTCTCTCCTCTTCCAAGTAAATTTGGAGTTGAAGTAACTGGAGGTTTTGGTGGTGGAGGTTTTTCTTCTTCTTCTAGTTTTGGAGGTTTGTTATTAATTGTCGGACAGGACTCTGATTCTTGTTTAATGTCTGACGAATTCGTTTTAACTTTTTCAGCTGACTCTGGAATACCTGCCAAACCTTTTATCTAAAGGAAAAATATTCCTAATATTTGTTGAAATGCTTTATTACTAACTTACTTTTAGTACAGTGGCAACATTTAAAAGTTCATCTAATTTGTCTTGCAGTATACGAATTTCTCCTGCATACATAAAGTCGCACAGAGATTTCAAAATCCAAAATGGCACATCCTTCATAAATAATACTGGATGTTGAAAAGGGCCAATTCCATCTAGGATTTCTTCGAAGTAGGGACTGCACATTGACAGGACAATCTAAAAAATAATTATAAATAAAGATGTGTTAAAACAGGTTTAGTAACATTACAGAGAACATATTCACAAAAAAAAACAATAATTTTCAACTTACTCTGTGGCATTTCATAGTTTTTCCCTCTGAAACTAAGGTGGCATCGACATATTGTTCCTTCATCAATAAATTTGGAAACGCTGATTGCATATTTGTATGTTGGGAGTTCCATTTGAGACATACTTCTGGTGGAAGTGGAGGAGTTTCTATTTGAGAAGACACATTAAGTCTACCTTGACGAGTGACCTAAAATCAAATGAAAAGGATTGTTTACACAGATAATGAGTGGTATATGAATAAAAAAAAAAAGGTGGCAAGACAGATTAACAATAAAGCTGATGTAGAAAGGTGCAAAAACGCTAAGGAACTCTGGGTATAAAGCAAGCAATAAGTGAAGATGCAATGTTGATATCCGTATTAAAATTTTGATAAAAACCACATTTGAGTTTATGTAGGAATACCCTAAGCACATACCTACATAATATTAAAAATACTTTACCACATTAAGATGACCTTTCTGTCCAATGTGGATTGAGAACTTTGATTTGCATCCAACAACTAAGATAATATTTTTAATGAGACAACAAACGAATATTTATTTCAGTTAGAATTTAAAAACATTAAATTACTATAGGGCACATAATCAAAGCAAATAAACTCTGCTTCCATACTCATATTTTACTCAAATGCCTTATATATAAATGCAAGCACATATACTTACTTACGTTAAATGAAAATATATTTACCTTGAGTTTTGTGGGTGATATTGACTGACTTTGCAAAACCGTTTCCTGAACAGGGACTGGTAATTCGTTATGATTTTGTGACAAACGCTTCTCCAATGGCATGGAATCTGAAAAAAATATTTCAATAAACATTAAACCTCAAATCTTAAAAAATAATACATCCTCAATGATGAATAATACCTAAATCATCACATTTCCCTCGCTTTGGAGGCCGTCCGACAGGCCGTTTGATATTTTCCATTGGATGTTGCCGTGCCTGTTCCATAATCTCATTTTTAAGTCCCTCCCACCTTTTTATCGTTACTCCAGGAAGTTTGAAATGAATGCAAGCCTCTTGAAATCCTTTTCGTTCAGCAAATTGGATTACTGAACGTTTGAACACTGGATCATAGCCAAGACATCCTGGGCTTTGTCTATGACCAGATCCCGGATTGAAAGGACGTTTTGTGGATTTCATTTTTTTTTTTTTTTAGTAATGTCTATTTTTTATTTTTTGGCACTGTAGATTTTTTGGAACCACTTTTATCTATACAACTTGAATGATACCATTATTTAAGTATTGATTGGGCAAGGTCTTATTCTTATCGTGGTCATACTTCTACATACAAGGTAGGTATTTCCATGTTTAAATAAGTCTTAGTTAAAGGTCCTTCACCACTGTCAAATGAGGTAATAAGCACTTAATGAGCAAATTAAATTGGATATGCATTAGTGACAAAAATACTTATGAGCACAAGCAATTTTTTTATATTCGAACTATGTGTATTTATTATTCTATTGTTCAGCGAATATTAGTTTTCCAGACATCTCTGTCCTATGATGTATAAGTTAATGAAGAACAAGAAAACACCCAGGATTTGAAGGAAATAATTTTTGGCAATTTTTGTTTTTAACCAAAGAAAATGGAAAATGGAAAAAAAAGTAGAAAATCGTATTTTTTATCTATTTTTGGGTTGAATCTTTCCTCCTTAGCCTTAGTCTTGTCTCCTCAAAATCTATAAAGTCTTCAGTCATAAATCATAAGCATTTCAAGTCTTCAGACTCTTTATAATATTCTGCTGAGTTTCAAAAGTTCTCAGAATTTGTAATATTTCAAAGTTCTAATTTTTATTATGTTTTCAATCTATAAAGTCTTCCAAGCCTTTTGAGTTTTTGGAGTTTCAGTCTTCACTCTTGTATCTTACAAGAAAAAAATTCTTTAGTTCTCGCTTTGGTCTTAAGCTCGGTCTCAAATCATGATTTAGAGCTGTTAAAGTCATAGGTCTCCAAGGCCTTTAAAATCTTTAGTTTTTAGGCTACACTGTCTTTGAAAGAGTCTCCAGAACTCCATTTCTTTGAACCCGTTGCTTCAAAATCTTCAGTGTTCACTGTGAACTCTTTAGTCATATAGTCATGAGCTCCAAAAGATGTGAAAGTCTTGAAAGGCTTCAGAGTCTATATAATATTAAGAATTTCAGACTTTGGTGTATCTTTGTTCCTTGATTTAGTCCTATCCTTCAGACACTGTACTCTTTGGTGTCTTGAATGGCTTCAATCCCTACTCTCAATTGGATTTTCCCGCTACTCTAGTTGAATTTCTGTTCCAAGGTCAAAAAATGTCATCATAGTGAACTACTCTGGCTCCACTTTTACTTGACTCCACTTACTTGACTCAATTCTGATTCTAGAATGGTCATAAGACACAGTTTACTTTTCAAGTTCAATTGTAAGTTTTGACAAGCTGAGAAGATACTTTTCATATTTCACTAGGTACATTGTCAGCTCTAGGAGAGCCACCCAACTAACATTTTTTGTTTTCTATTGGTAATGGTTACGTTTCGATTACCTATTTTATAAATCCTGAGAACCTATAAATTGTTCGCGAAACGTTTTTGTTACTCTTATAAAACGCTTATAGCACTTAAATGGAGAATCCTATAAAGGTAACGGTGACCAAATTTTGGCACCATATAAAACTTTTACTCCCCATTTATTTGGAACTGAGAGGTTGTCGTTACCTTTATAAACTACTAATCAGTTTTATAATGGCAATGAAAACCTTTTCGTTACCGATATAAAACCTAAATAGTCTTTATAAACACCAAACAAAAAACGCCCCCTTTTCGTTTCATCTCTTTCCATATCATTTGTTTAAAATATATTTTATTTCGAGTCGAGTCCTTGTCATTAATATTTTGTTTTCACTTTGAAGTTGACAGCAATGGATTCTTGCTTTGTTATTATTATGAAAATGTTTTATACACTAAATATTGAAGACTTAATTTTATTTGGCACGAAAAATTTATCGAATAATTTTATGTTTTACCCTCGGTTTTACCCTTCCTAAAACTGAAGCGCCCTCGTTTTAAGCACTTTAAAACTTATTTTTAGCAAAAACCTAGAAATTAAAACTATGCCTCATGATTTTTTTTTTTGCAGTTAAAATGCAGAACATTTATTGACCGCATATTTTTGAAGAACTATGTCTTCAAGCTCAGTAATATTGCGTAAAATGCGATATTCTATCTTCTTTATGTAGATATTTATGTCAATTCAAAAAAACATAAAAATGGCCGCCATATAAAAGGACGCCATGTTCGCCAGGTTTGCTTTTTAAAAACCTATAGTTTTATATGGGCCTTCAAGTAATATTAAACACCTTGGAAACTTTTATAATACTAACCTAGGTGTCTTATGGGAATATTGCTGTTGCAATAAAACCTAAGGTGATTTTGTGATATCTATAGGTTTATACGTTACCACAAAGGTATGCACAAAAGCCTTCGTAACCGGTATAAAACTGGAAAACCCATTGAAAACTATTAGTGCGCAAATGACAAATTGTCAAATGTCAAACATGCAATCATACCTTCACTTTCAGTTATTGTTTATTAGAAAAAAGGGCCTTTAATTATTGAACTTATATTTGAGAAAACAGATCATTGTCTTAAATCGGATTGTTGTAATATGCTTCTGTTCTGTGCCAATATAATATTGTCGTGATGAAAGTCCAAATTTTTGGTGTATTTCTTTTAGATTATTTGGAGTTTTTGAATATTTATCGCCAGGTCCACTTCGCAAAATATTGTCACGGGTTTCAGCACACTTTCTATAAAAGCTGCTACTGTATTCTAAAAATTGAATACAGTTCTTTCTTATAACTTGTGACATATTTTCATATTTAGGAAAACAATAATTATTAATAAACCTCATAACTTCAAAAACTTAGCGGCCTTGCCTACATAAAAAAGTTGTTAATGGGCCTATAAGTTTTATAACGTTCTTCAGGTTTAATAATTGCTGTAGAATATTTATTAGCTGCTTCGAGATTTATAAGGGTTTTACGGAGTAAGCTATAAAACCCCAAGAGTCAAAGTTTTATAATAAGGTTTTTAAGAACGCTATAAAACCTTTTTAAAAAAACCAGAAGTATCCAACACCAAAGGTTTTATAGATAAAGTAACGGAAACGCTTTCGATACCAAATTATAAAACTTAAAGTATTTTGGTATTTATTGGACGTCTTACAAAACTTGTAACACCAATAGTTTTCGTATAAAACTATAAAAACCATTATAAAAATAAAGCTTTCTTATAAACCCCTTATAAATATTCGTTACCTCATAATAAAACCTTGAGCTGCGAAAAATGTTAGTTGGGCAGGAATACAAATTTGTGCTACATTAGAAAATGCCTCTTGATACATAGTACATGTAGGTCGAGGGGTTTTTCACCTAACAAAATTTGTACACCGATGTACTAACTGAGATATTTTCATGTATTAACAGATATTTCTATGTACCTAATGACAAGTTATTGCCAACTATATCCATATATTAACAAAATATTTCCACATATTGCCAGGTATTTCCCTAGTATTATCACATATTACCAGGTATTGCCATGCTATTGACAGACCAAAATCAAATATTTGTCTTGCCAGAATTCTAGATATTGACATATCCACAGGTATATTTACATGTTATTAATCTGTATTCACCAATGACATTAACATATTATATTGCCTAGATATCTACAAGTATTGACACTATTGACATAGTATTTACCTGGTATTGACATATATTAACCAGTGATTTGTACACCGATTAACAAGGTGAAAAACCCCTCGATTATCACATTACTTTACCAACAGAATCAAATAATGTATTTTTAATAAATAATATGTATTACTTACTAGAAAGCAAATTATTTATTTTTTCGTCTTTAGACTGAAGTTGTGTTCTTTTAGCGGTTTTTGCATCACGGGCAGACTTAAATTCAATTTGTTCAAATGGGTTAATTTTAATGCCATATTCATTAAAATATTTCTCCATTAAGAGCTTTGCTGTAGTGTTCCATATAGTTTTCACCGTATATTCCTTATATTCTTCTCCATTTTGTTTCCGCATATTAAATGCCCAGCTTTTCAAAATGGTAACGAGCTGAACTACCGGCGTATCTCGATCCAAAACATAACTTTTGTGGTTACAAAACAACATAAATTGCCTCCAAATATATGCCTTACTTTTTAAGGTATTTATCGGCTCGCTGATTATTATGTTATTTTCGATTTCGTCGCCAGAAATATCTCCAAAACGATTCATTTTCGACTTTCAAATCGTCAAAGTTTTACTGACAAATATTTTTGATTTATTGTCAAACTGGTTGCCCTGACGAATATTTCACGAATGAAAATGCAAAAAATATGGAAATAAATATGGTTGCTAATAGCATCCATTTGTTTGTATTGATTCAAATAAATGGTTGGGCAACTGTTTGTTTGTATCAAAAATTAGCATGACAACCATGAATAGGATGAAAATTATCAGTAGTAATAGCCCAAGGGCATTGATAGTTGTCCAAAAAAAAATTATAACAGAAAGTTGTTACAAAATTTTCAAGCATTTATCAATGTTCGAGGGTTATTCGGATAAAAAAAAATTGACAGCAATGTCCGAGACAATGTCATAGAGTGAAAACAACCCTAGGGCTGTTTTCAGCATAATTTTGACATGATTCGGTATATATCAGTATACACATCCTATAACCACAATGAGATGAATATATCTAGTGACCTCTCTGTCAATCTAGGTGATATCATAATAGAACCCATAGATATTTATAACAAGAATTATCAACTTAAAAATGTAGGATGTGGTCCAGATGGTGTTCCTGTGTGTCTTCTAAAAAGCTGCATTTGTTTTTTCTCTTTTATTTTGTTTCAAATATTTAATAAATCGCTATCAAGTGGGACCTTCCCTAATATTTGGAAATTGAGTTATTTAACTCCAACATTCAAGAGTGGTGACAATTGTCAAGAGAATTTATTTATTTTATTTATTTATTTATTAGCAGTGAATAAAAGTTTACAATTCTTTCATATAAATAAAACAGTAATCCTCACGCTACTAATAATGCATGCACTATTGCATATAGGATGCCGTGTGTGCATCTATAACCTATTTAAGTTTACTTTTGAGGTATGTGCGAAACTTAAATATTTAACAAAATCTACAGAAAACTTGGGAAATAAATATTGAATATCCAATCCGTAATATCCCTTTTACACTTATAATATGGTTTAGCTCTAATGCTGGCTGGTAGATTATTATAAACTATGGGACCTACACAATAAATGTGGCTTTGACAGGTTGAGTATTTGGGGTTTTGAAGAGCAAGATTTTGTTGGGCTACATTTCTAGTGTTCAAGCCATGATTAATAGTACTCCTATACAAATTTGACTTTAACATTAATCGTATTACAGCTTTAATATACAGTTGACTTAGAGACAGAAATCCACTGTCCTTGTAAACCAGCTGAGTTGGATATCTTTTATTTTTCAAGAAAATTATTTGTATTATCCACTTCTGTGTTACTTCAAATTTTTTCAGTATTGTTGTTCCTGCATTGCCCCAAACAACGATGCCATAGTTCAAAATAGATTCCACCAGAGCCAAATATATTGATTTTATCCCAGATTTTATAGTTTCAAATGACAGAACATTTCTTAATTCATAGAATTTAAAGATTAACCTGCGAACTTTATTTGTTACATATTTTACTTGCTCTTTCCATGTGAAATTTTCATCAAGAAATACGCCTAAATATTTCAGTGTTTTCTTTCTTTCTATAGAACTATTGCAGGCAGATACAGCCTCGATGTATGTTAGAATCTGAATTATGCAGTCTAATATTTTGAAATTCTGGTAACAAGCGGGGTGAGAGGGAGAAAGCAACAAATTTTGTCTTTTCAACATTCAAGGACAACAGACTATTGGCAAGCCAAGATATTATTTTTTGCAAGGCTAGTTCAGCTGCTATTTTTGTTGTTTCCCAGTTATCACCGCAGATTATAACTCCTGCTTCATCTGCAAAACACATAACTATCCCTTCCCCATTTAACAGTGATAACATCCTATCCAAATATATATTAAAGAGTACTGTTGACAGCACTGTGCCCTGTGGCACTCCAAATTCAATCTCGAGCTTTGAGCTCTCCTCATCTGATACTTTTGTACTTTGTTTTAAGTTGTAAGTAAGATTTGATGAAGTCATTAGGGATGCCCCTTACACCTATTTCCTCCAAGCGCTCAATCAAAATTTGGTGTGCCACAGTGTCGAAGGCCTTCTGCATATCTAAGAATATACCTATGACCTTTTTTCCAGTGTCTAGATTTTTCAATATAGTTTCTGTTAGCTTACAGAGAGCATTCTCCGTACTGGAGTTTTCCCTAGATGCAAATTGATTGATATTTAATATGTGGTTTTTCTCAACATAAGTCATTAATTGCGATTTGTAACATTTTTCAAAGATTTCACTTATTGAACTGGTCAACGTTATTGGCCTATAATTACTTGTATCTTTTCTATCGCCATGTTCATAGACAGGTATGATTATGGAGTTTTTTAAGATTTTAGGGAAAATCCCAGTTTGGTAACTGGAATTAACCAGATGTAATAATGGTAACAGTAGGTAGGTAGGAACTATATTTTTTAAATATATCAGAGCAAATTCCATCTTCTCCTGCACTCACCGCATTTTTTAGGCTCTTTATTTTTTTAGTAGCTCATTTTCTGAGATAGGGTATAAGAAAAACGAATCTGTTACTCTCTCTATTTCTTCTCACACCCACCATACCAGAACCATTAATTTTGCTTGCTTACTTTTTACCTATATTAGAAAATATGTACAGTGAGTTGTATAATTGCTGTAAGTTTTTGATTCAACACTTCTCTTATGAGAAAATTTATACATAAGTTCATTATACTATAGCCATTGACCTCGCCATTGACTATAGCTTTCCAAGCAAATTTCCAAGGACGATGTGATGCCAAATAAAAGTGAACAAGAAAGCAAATACCTGGAGACTGGAGACCAAAACAATTCATTTAAAGAACAAATACAAGAAAAATATTTAAAATTGGCGCTCATTTCCGAATCAAAAACCTTGAACCTGCGCCCAGAGAACATTAGGAGAATTATTCGATAAATTCAATCAGAGGTCCTCAAACAAAACACCGAGACTAAACAATGATTTTTTTAGCCTAATTTGATAAACATAAAACATACCTAAATCTTCTACAAAACTACCATCCCCATCATCAGAATGTTCCAACTGTTTCAAATTTTCAGTGACCTTAACACTATATTGACACTTTTTCCATTTATTCTTAATTTCATTTAAGGTCCTTCGTTCCATGGCAACTTTATTCACTTCTTCCAAGATGATATTCCACACTTGATTTCTAATTTCTTTGTGAAAGAAGCTCTTCGAAGTTTCCTTGTATAAAATATCGTGGTTTTGCATCACCGTTGTGACTAGAACGTCGACTTCTTCCTGGGAAAAGTTGCTTTTCCTAGATTTTCTCGTTTCGGCGGCCATTTTTGTTAGCACTCCAACAATTTTTTTATAGACAAAGCTTTAGCACCTAGCACTTAAATTGCGAATAAAACTCCCACTAACTAAGCAATAATGACTATTTAAACAAAACACAGGACAAGAAAATCAATAGAATATACAAAAGGAAATTTATAGGCCAAATTCGCCTTCGGAAAGCATAGCTTAGCACTCATTGGACAGTGGTCCTAAACAGTTTCCACTGGGCCCTCAAATGACAGTTTCCATTTGTTATTTTCAAAATCATAATAAACAAATAAGCATGGATCAATATACAGGATGTTTTTTAATTAATACCTATATTATATTTATCATTATTATGATAAAAATAATGTTATTTATTTGAAGATTTAATAACAAACATAACCTTACCCAACCAATGTTTTTATTTTTTATATGTAAATTGTGGATTTGTTGAGATTTTTGTGTCAAACAGTATGTTTTTTTAGTCCAATTAAATAGCACTTGCTATAAATCAATTCACTTCGTTAAAATCGAGTAAATTCCGGTAAGCCGCCGTTAGAAATTCACTTTATTTTGGAGGGTGGAGAAGGGATGTGAACTTCACACAGAACACAGGGAACACAGTGGTCCTAAAACAATAACGTCATTTTTGGTGTTAACTTCAAATTTTGTACCTCGAATTCGAATCTTGTCTTTTATAGATTTAAAGAATTTAGATAAGTATAAAATTCTAATTCTGAGGTTTGAAACTGACACTGAATTGTTCCAAATAGAAATATGCGCGATCTCGACAAGAAATCTGTTACAAACTAAACTACGCTCATTTGAAAACCTAAATGTTATTCCTCCTTCTGACTGTATTAAAGACTTTTTAAAATTCTAGAAACATTTTCATATTGAAAAAAAAATGGATCTTAGATGTTAGAGATGTTTAATGTTCGTGTAGGTTGTATTATTTTTGAAATAAAGCCCAATACTCGTCGAAACCAGTGGCACTAACATGTTTTTCTTCTTGAGCTGTCCCAGAGATAGCTGTCCAGTCTAGTGTCAAAACTTGATCACTGCGAACTGCTAAGACTCCACGGATCGGTATGAGCATGGATATCGTGACGTCATACGCGGTTATAAGCCCAACGCGAGAACACTCTAAGCGCTAAAACGAACAGGATCTTTTCGTTTCGAGTGCGCTCAGAGTTTACAGAGTGAGCCGAACTCAGCCCTAAGGGCCATATTGAGGGCCGCTCATAAGGTTCAAAAACTGAAAGCGTACTGTGTTAGAGCACAACCTAATAGGAAGGACTGCCTATTGAGCTGAAAGGTTTTGGCTTTTCAGCCGCAGGCCTCAAACCTTGGCGTAAAATGCAAGACGAGTTTAGAATAGGCCAAAAAAACGAATTCCTTTGCTTGGACAAATTGACGTTTTATGCGTGAATCAAACGACAAATTGTCGCAGCATTAATAAAGAGCGAATTTCGCAGTTATGAGTACTAGGCATAATAATAATAATAATAATAATAATAATAATAATAGTCTTTTTTTTACTACTAACCTGAAAAATAGTCATTATTCAATCTATTTTTCTGGGAAAAAATTGAATTTCCCTCCCTAGGTTAATAATGAAAATAATGAAAAAATACCTAGGTAAATAATGAAAATGACGTCATGACGCAAGGATATTTTCATGTTTTTATTGGTTCAATTTCAATTTCATACGTCAAATAAAATAAAAAAATACAGAGGTTTTTGTAGGTACATAGGAAGTTATCATAAGCTGTTGTTAAAGGACACCACTTTCAAGAGAGCGTTCAAAAAAAATAATTAAAGTTTACAAATTATTCATTTTCCACTAGGTACCGGTTTCTCAATAGCAGGTCACCTCCGGGTTAAGCTAACTCGACCAGGGTAAACATTGCAATTTGACACGTTAACCCTGGAGTTAAAACCAACCCGGGGGTGACTCGCTATTGAGAAACCGGCCCTAGCAGTAGTAAAAAAAATCTATTTCTCGGTAGAGAAAGTCATTATATACCTCACGCATCACGTATTATAAACCTCAACTAAATAGGTATTTTAGGGGAGCCCTAACGATAAGTATTTCCTAAAATGACATTTTTACATGGAGAAATGTCAGTTTAAGGCATACCTGTTAGAGCTTCCCTAAAATAGTTGGTGGAAATGGCCATTAGAAAAATTAAGAAGAAAACGAAAATTCAAGATCCGGAAATAGACAAAATATGAGATGGAAAAATTGAAAAATAAAGAATAAATAAATATATACTTAACTTAGATAATAATAATATTAATAATAATACCTGAATAAACATCAAAAAATGTGCAAAAATATAGCGACAGGGGCGTGGCTAACTTCTATATTCATATTCAAAATTTGCAAGAATATGGCGGCGGTACCAAATTTCTATTTGAAAAGGTGAAGTCACCGTCCTTGAAGTCATTGTAGGTGGGCCGGGGGCATTGGAAAGGGTTGAAAAGGAAACAACCAATCAAATAACTTGACGATGCATAAACCCCGGAAAGGGGCGGGGCTCAACTAACCAATTGAATGCCCTGCTGATATCGCTTGCATCTGATTGGAAAGGGGCGGGGCCTATATCCAACCTATCAAATGCTTTGTTGATATCCTTGCATTTGATAACGAGTCAGCCACAGTGTTGCCAGCTTGACGGAATTATCCCCTTTTTGCCTTTTTGAGGAAATTTTCTATTTTCGTTCGCAAAAGGGTAGAAGCGGAAAGCGGAATTTTTAAAGTCTATTTTTTTTTAAAGATCTTTCAAAATTACATTTTGTTGGCAAAACAATAGCTGTATTCCTTTCACACCTAGGAGGAGCTCCGGAACAGCTCCGGAGCTTCACGCACTTATTCCTTTCGAAAAGTGTTTGTCGCACCACGCATCTGTTCTCTGCAAATCGGGGGCTACTAAACACCGGAGCGAGAAGCTCGAGTGTTTCAAACTCTTGAAAGGAATACAACTAATGTTAAATTGTCGATGCTTTCAAATTTTTTATGTAAAGCAAAAAAAATCGCATTGAAAATCCAGTATGTTGTGTTTAATCTTGTCTACAAATGAAGACAACTCCGAACCCCGAACTACTTCCTCCCGGTCTCTGAATGGGTTTTTTCGTCTTTAGGTCTATTGCAAGTTGCATCCCGCCAAAAACCCGTCCCAAGAACGGTTCCGGAACCACTCTGTATACGAATTTCGCATTCTACGTTTTTGCGTTTTGCGCAGAATCCTGACGGTGGAATGTGCGGTTCCCTGGGGCGAGTTCAGAAATAACACACCTGGGTCCTAACTCTCGAAACCGGGGAACAGCGTTCTCATGAGAACGAAGGTTCTGTCTTTGTCAGTGTTATGGCGATATGAATATGAGCGACGAAGTCAGAACCTTCGTTCTCAGGAGAACGCTGCTCCCCTGTTTCGAGAATAAGGACCCGGGTGTGAGTGCGATTTTATGGGTGTGACTGAAATGACAATTCTTAGGCGACAATTTTCGTATGAATTTCTGAACGCTTGGTGTGACCAATCGAGCATCTCCTCAAAAATTTCACAAAATCTATTAGGATTACTTTTTTTTGTTGTTCATTTTTTAAATTTGAAGGAAAAACTTTAATTCTTATTTGTGTTTTGTTTTGCACTCGGTGTGCCTATAGCATTTATGAACGGCTAGTGCGTCGCACCGGTGTCACACTCACACTAAAGTGTGTCATTCCTGAACTCGCCCCTGCTGGGTTGAAACAAAGCTTTTGATTCCACTTGTTCATCCGAACTTAGGACCGGCAAGAGTGCGATTCAATCTACTCAATTCACCCATTTGTCAGGCCGAAATGGCCGTTTTTGTTTTGTCTGCCACCCAGCTATGGGATTTCAATCGTTAGTCGATACGTAACGTCCTGACTCACCCGTGGAAAGGCCAGTGGGAAAATCGGGACGATAGGTTGCGACCAAGGTTGTTAGAGAGAGTTAGGTTGCCTGATAACTGTATGACGTCATCCAGAGTGCCTCATCATAATGCAAATCTCCATAAGGCACCCCAGATGCATCATCAAGTTACCCATTACCAGGCAACCTATTAACTTCAGGAATCTTGGGTTGCGACTAGAGGTTGAGAATCCTGCCTCAGGCGCCATTTCTGAGGTCCTTGTTTGACGCGATGACATCGTCAATTGTTCGTGGCAGTGGTAATAGTTTAGAATATACATTTGTGATCTAAAAAAGCGTTGTTTTAGAATGTTAAATAATGTACTTAAAACCATATGCATAAAGCAAAAGCCCGCAGAATATACTGGTGCAAACACCCTAAGGGCCGGTTTCTCAATAGCGAGTAGGTAACCTCCGGGTTAGTTTTAACTTCAGGGTACACGTGTCCAGTTGCTATGTTTACCCTGGAGTTATGCTTAACCCGGAGGTGACTCGCTATTGAGAAACTGGCCCTACGTCAAGGCGAGAAACGAGTGAAACGACACGCTTTTTACGTCATCACTGGTTCTTTGGCATAGTAGGGGACTTGAGCTGTGCTAGACAGGCCTTATGTGGATGAGCTGTCCTGGGTCTCAGAGTAATGTGTATTATCCTCGGGGCTTCCGTATCGGTTGCCTTTCCTTGCGTTCGGTATTTTACTCAAAGAGCAGAACGTGCTGAGCGGAGCCGTAATCACGTAACCAGCGAGCGAACAGAGCAGTTGAGCGCTGTATCAGAGTGGTAGAAAATTTTAATAAATGAACACGAATGAGCCTGCACCGTTCGGAGAACTCAGATCAAAATACCGAACATACTTTTGTCAATTCCCGATTCTTTTCGATGTCAAAATTATTTTTGACGTTTGACGTTTCTCCTAACCTCCAAAATTCAAGGCGCGATATTTTCAGGTATTTTTTTCTTACGAAAGGAAAAAACAATAAAAAAATCCTAATTTTAAGATAGGTAGGAACGTTTTAGTTGTTTTTAGCCAAAAATGGCGGAAACGTTGCCTTCAGTGGTCGAGCAAGAATTGCTAGGCTTAAGGACGCTGCTGTGGGGCGCCGAAAATTAAGGCCGATATCTTTCGTCGATGGTCCCAAGGTAAACATTCTTATTTGACCTTTTAAACATCTATCAATCCGTTGAAACACCTGTTCAATGTGTTCTCACATGCTCAGCAAAGTTTTAACTTCAAGTTCAATATCATTCTTTAAAACGTTCAAACTCTCTTTTCACAAAAACTTTTTTTTCAGGATTCTACTTTAGTACAAATGAAAAGAGTGCCCTAGAACAAGCAGAAGGGGGCCCTTGTGCTATAATCGCACCGGTACAAGCATTTATAATCAAAAACCTGCTTTTGGAGTACAAAAACTTAAGTTTCAGGGAAAAGGTAAGTAACACTTCATACAACGTATATTCATGTTTTCATCTCGGTTTTCATTATTCTTCACACAAACAATAGTATATAGACGTGCAAACTGATATAAATTCCTATTAACATCATTTTTTCAAAATTCAAATTTTGCCTAAATGACATTGACACACATTTCACATCCTATCTTGACCTAACTAGACTCAAATCAAGGCTAATTCGATCCTCCACAAATCTCTAGTTAATAGTTTCAATACAGCTTCAATAATTTCCCAGCAGCAAAGCTTTGAAATCTTTTGACTTGAGCTAGCAGAAGGAATTTTTCTTTTTTACCAACTACTAATCTTTTCTCTATCCCCTTTTAAAGTTTCAATCAAATCCCTCAAACATTTGATTCTCTCCAAAATGATATCAACACACGTTTTGCCTTTGCCCCACAACTAACTTTATTAAATTCAGTTCGATCTTGAAGTATGTAATTAGGCACACATGAAGATGAATAAAAACCTTCCATAGACAGTTTCAATGCAGCTTTAACAGTTTCCTCAAAGTGGAAAAAAAGTTTTACTTATTTTTGGTACCTTGATTCAATGTCATTCACTTAAGAATATCCTAGTTTTCTGTATTAATCGTATAAATATAGTTATGAAGTCTAATAAATCAGTTTTGGTGTACCCATTCTTTCTTGTTTGAAAAAATAATCTAACAAGTATTGTCATAGGTTAATCAAGAAATCCAACGTAAAATCATCGTCAATGCTCTCAGTGAGATCCTGGGCCAATGCAGTGCGGAAAAATATTGTATAGTACACTTAGAAAAGGCCAGTAGTTCAGCAGAAACCAAATTAGAAGGAGAAAAGAGTGAGGATGTTCCGGGACCGTCACAAGATATTCCGGACCCAGTCAGGTTCCACAAGGATCTTGATGTGATATTATTTACAAATATCTCAGATGTGACCAAGTATTATTCTGACCATACAGACTCTTTACAAGGCCGGTATGGGGTACTGTTATTTTTGTATTCTGTGATATTATCTAGGGTAAGTTGGCGTCATTGCAATTTATTGAAAAATGTATTGTTTTTGTTATTCAAGGGTTGCAACAAGTAAAATCAGAATGTGGTGACTCTCAAGAACCTTTAATAGATGAAATATATGGCTATGGAAGTCAATCATTAATTAATCTTATGATTACTGGTAGAGCCACTACATATGTTTGGGATCATTATCAAAATGTTTCTGGCCTAGGTACATAAAGTTTGGGCTTATTTTTATATGAAATTAATTTTTTTTTCTAGAGCTAAAGGGTATAGAAAAACAAAGCCAAGTGGGCTTTATTACAATTATGGAATACCATCGGTTTTGTACTGTTGGGTCATTTTATAAAAATCCCATTCATCCTGTTTGGGTTATAGGATCTGATACTCATTTAACAGGTAGGTACACCTTAGGATATTTTGTTGTTAATTGAGTTAATTGTAATTTCGAATGCCTCTGGATATTTCGCGAAGTTTTATTTAGAACTTATAATTTTAGAGTGTTGAGAATTTTGTTAACGGACAATAAGTCTGCTTAAGCAAATTTTGATATCTGGAAAGTTCTGACAATTAGAAGTTGCTAGACAGATTATTTTTTGTTTCTGGAAAGAGCCTCACAGTAGTTTCTAGCTTTTAACGACTAGAATTCAATTTTATGTGAGAACTAACTTGTTTTGATGGTGTGTTAGATTATGTTTGGCTTGTTGAATGAAGTGAAATGGTTTATATCATATTGGCTACATGTCATATCTGATAATTCTTTTATCAAATTTTCAGTATTGTTTAGTGATGAAATAAGACTTGTAAGCCCAGAAACAAAAAGCGAACAAGCCCGGAGAGTGTTTAAAAGCTTTGATCCGGACGGAAATAACTTTATAAGTACAGACAAGCTTCAGGAAGTTTTAGAAGCTCTAGAGTTAGTTAGTGAAGCTGAGTAGTAAGTTTACATCTGGTTATAAAACACTTTAATGGTTCTAATGATACTTTTAGTGTTGATATTATGAAGAAAAAGTTAGATAGCGAATCCTTAGGCATAATATTATTGAACGGATTTATGGACGAATTTTTCCCTAAAGAAGAAACTTCTACACCAGACATGTTCACCTTAGTCCATTATAACGGATTGGCACAAAGTAATATTAGTAAGCAGGTGAGAATTCGTTTAGAATTTAGAAACAAAATAAAATATAATTGTTTATATGATAATAGGTCCAGTATCACATAGGTTCAGCAATTTTACTAGAATCTGACATAAAATCCATATGCGAATCAAACCCGATGTTAACAGTGCTACAGACCAAATGGGCTAGTATAGAAGTGAATTGGTGCGATGGTGTTAATCCTTCATTGAATTAAGCAGGTTAAGTCAATAATTTATTTGTTTTTAAAATTTTTCGCTTTTTATTTCTATTTGTTGTTTTCCCAATAGGTATGCAAAAAATGAGGATTACTTTTTTTGATTTATGTTTGTCTTTGTATTCAAAATTTTTCTAGTCAAAGATATCCTTTATATGTTTTATCAAAACGCATACATGTCCTGTCACTGTTATCGAAATTTTATTAGATATTTGTTGATTTATTTTTGAGCATTTATTTCATCATCAAGGGAACATTCAGAAAGTCAAAACGAACAAAAATATTGTTTTTGTTAGTTCTTATTTTCTGAACTAACTCATGAAATACTTTGGTTTTATCTTATGAGCAGAAAAAATAAAATAAATCAATGGTGTTTTGTGAAAAATTCAGTAAAAAAACATATAAGATACTATTAAAAAAAAATTGATCAAAAATCTTTGATTTTATAAGAATTAAAAATGCATTTATTATTTAGTTTCTAGTGAATGTTTCTCAAAAAAATTGCAAATTTCTCAAATATATTATTGTGCCAATTTTCCATGGTTGCGATTCAAAATACATAAGTATATGTATATTTTTTGTCCTTATACATAGTTGGTCAATGAATAAGTGTTATTCCAGAAAACATATGTTGTATCAATCAAATATTACTAAAAACTTTTATTAATTGGGGGTCGATTTTTCTTTCTTTTTTTTTTTTGTTTCTTCCGGTGTAAAATCTAGATTACGAGTTTTATGTAGTTTCCCATGTACCATAAAATTGTGCTTAATTAAGATGAGGCATTGACAAATAGTGTAATTTATAGGTCCTTTCCAACCCGCCAAAATACCGTCCCTAGAACGGTTTCAAAACCACTTTGTATACGAATTTAGGATTCTATGTACAGAATCCTGATGGTGAAATGTACGGTTACCTGCTGGGTTGGAAAAATTTATTTCATTTATTTATTTCATTACTTTACAAACACCAAAAATAGTAATTACATGTAAAGTTAAAACAGCGAAGTGTAAAACACAGAAATAAAGATAGAGTACACAATATAAACATATATGACTAATTTAAAAGGGCCTTCAATTGATTGAAAGTTACATTAAAAAGATCTACCTGGACCTCATTAAGTGCTTGGTTCGCAACTGTCATCATGCGATTAAATGGTGACATATTATTACTAGGATCAGTACCAAAGTATTTCTTGTTTTTCATAATTCTTAAGTTAATCTTTGGTACAATTAAGGAGACATAGTTAATTAAATTACAATCCTTATACTTTAGGTTGTTTAAAATATAAAACAAAAATATCACAGCCTGATTATTCCTTCTTTCCACTAATGACTTTATCTCAAAACTAACAAGCATATCCCTATAAGGAACTATATATGGGTAAATATTATTTTTAACCACATAGAGATACCGCAAAAATCTCTTCTGCACTTTTTCAATTTCATCAATATGCGTGGCTTCCAATGGCATCCAAATGTGTGATGCATATTCAAGGTGTGGTCTCACCAGAGCATTATACAAGTTAATAATTGTACTTATTTTAAAGTTCTTACTATTCCTGATTACAAAGCCAAGTGCTTTTACTGCTTTATTGACAGCATGATGAAAATGCTTATTGAAACTTCATGTTGGCCTGGAAAAAGACACCCAAATCCTTCACCTCTGTTTGACGATCAAGCTCAGTATCACCAATCTTGTATGTTTCTTCTATTGGGTTTTGTTCGTCTCGTAAAACTGACAACAGAACACTTATTAAAAAATGCTCATTGGTTCTATAAAAAATAATAGGCACCACTGCAAGCAAGCTTCAATTAAAGACTCAGGTTGATCAAAAAACAGATTTGCGTAATATCTTGCCATCTGGTAGATTGCCAGGGAAACGTTTTAGTGTTATTGAAGGCGGATGATGGAGAAGTGTATGTTAGTTTTAAAAGACGTTTAAGGATGCACGCAAAAAGATTGAAACTGAAATATTCTATGTTGGTAGTAGGGAATGCGTACTGGAAGCTAATAGGGTTTTCCACAGAAAATTAAATTATTGATGTTTCAGAAGGGCAAATTATCTTTTGAAATCAATACTCCTCCATCAGCTGGTAATAGTTTAAGAGCCAAATTATGGACCAACTGGTAACTGTCTGGTTGTTACCTAGCAGGTACTTCCTATTCTCTAGTGCATAGAAAGTACCTGCTAGGTAACAACCACACGTTTACCAGTCAGTCCATAATTTGGCTCTTAAGAAAATATCACTTAAAACAAACGTTAGCAATCAGAGAGACAGGAAAGCAATCTTTTAAGTCGTACTGGGTAGCAGCAGCAATAGTTTGCAGATTTCACACAAACAAAAAACAATCTGAGAATTTCGTTACTTTCAGAAACTATGAGAATCATTCGGATCATACAGAACTAAGGTCTAGTAGAACAAAAACTCCAAACCCTCGAATAGTTTTCCTAAAGTTGAGAGACCTGAGGAAGAATCAAAGAATGCAAAAGTTTCAAATATCTCCGGAACTGAGAATGTTAAGCAAATCAAATAAAACAAAGCTTTGTTTTCCGAAGAACGTATAATCCTCTTTGTCTTATGGTTTGGTATAATTAGCATTTGTCAGTGCCTAATCTGGTAATATCAAAATTTGTGAATGTCAATGCACACAGAGTTTACCTACATTTTTACTGCAGAAACTATTTTTATGTGGTAAAAAGTGTGGGTGACATATATTTAGCTTTTAAGGTGGCAATACATGTAGTGTGAATTTAGATATTACACACCATCTATTGCTCGTCGTTTTTAATCCGACACTTTCTGTATGAGGTGCGAGGGAGTGACGCTTATGACAAAAAAAGGTGTGACGTCAGTTGGCCATTGGCGTTCTAATATAGCTCACATTCCTTTGGAGTATCAGATTAAAATTGACGGACTTCAAATGTATCACCTTAAAATTTACAGCATCTAGACCGATAGAAATAGTAGATTTTGTAAAGTCAAGTATCACTTAAAGAATTGCCTTGAATTTAATAATAATGAAGATTTAATATATTATGTATTTGTAAAACTTGAAGGATGTTGAACAACAGTTCAACTTGCCTTGAAGTGGTTATCCAGAGTTTATATTAAAAATATAAGAAGTCATTTTAATACCTAATCAAGATTTATATAAATACGTAACATCTACTTACGTTGTAGGTAATAATTTATTGATGTGATAGAATTTGTTGTTCTTTTTTGTCATCATCCAACAACTTAGCTTTATTAGTTTTACTCGCCTCATTTCTTAAATTATGTATTTTGTTTATATGATATTAGTTATCATTATTATTTTTGCATTTTTAATAATAGTTGTTCCAATGTTTTGGGAAGAAACCTAGGCTTTCTATGTTTTTTTTTTTTTTTAATAAATTTGAAATCATTATGTTGCAATTTGGAGTGATAGTATTTTTTCCCGATTTCCGGATTCCTTTAAAATTGACACATTTTTAATCATTTTCTATAGAGAAGGCAGCAGTAAAAAAAAATCTGTTCAATTACTACCTACCTACTTCAAAAAATTTGAATAAAGGACAGGCCGATATTATAATGTCCGGTTGACCAATAGTTGACAAGACTGACCCTTGGAGGGATAAATGTTACTCCTTTCCAAACTTAGCCATTTAGAAGTTACAGGCGAGTGTTTCTCAGATTACCCACAATTTTATGATTACAACTTACCCTGATATAATAAAATTAAAAAAAAAAACAAGTCAGCGTTTAATTATTTTTACTCACGACAAATATAATGCCTATTGTCTACATCAGACTTCCAAATCTCACAATAAACTTTCATAAAACCGTCAACAATTCTAGTTTAACTCTTATTTACTATTCGAAGCTTTCACCTATGTATAAAATAATATTGGTATATAGAACTTCTTTTATCATTAATCCTAATTTTACTCAATATGTGGGATTACTTTAAATGAAAAACATTACCATAATCTAAATCTAAGTGTATATAGCATGGCTGATAGGCTATATAGCACACCGAAAAAGTTATATTTATTGTATTTTGTTAATTTTCGTTGCTTTTGGTATGCAGTGAAATATATCCTAATGCAAACCAACAATTTATATTGACTTTTTTTGAAAAATCAGTAAAGGGACACATATGCTTTTTAAACTTCCTATCGTTCCTTATCAGATCGATTCTGATGGGTATGAAATTTATGAAAAACCACATTCACAAAAAAAGCATAGTGGTTAATTTCCAAAGTTCTGCTTTTAAATCACTAATTTTTCACATAATTCAAAGATAACCAAAACGCTTTGGTAAATGGTAATCACCAGATAACGATGCAAAAAATATGTAAGGGAAGCAAATGAGTTTTGGGTCGATTCCAATCATAAGAGTTGCCAAGAATAAGAAAATTGTTGTGATTGATTAAAATAATCATTACTTGCTACTGAAAGAATATACAATGGGTTTTTACGAAAAGATCAAAAAGATGGTGTATAACTCGAAATTACAAAAACCCCCATTTGAAATCCCTGATAGATTAATTTGCATTGCTTTTGGTTTACGTATTTAAGTCATCATCTGTTTTTAAAATATAAAATTTCTCGGTAACTGACTTTGAAATAGCTCCAAATACAAATTAAATTAATAAAAAAAAAACATGTATACCAACAGATCTTAGAACTATGATATTTTTTGGTAACCTATTCTCTATTAATATAATAAATTCAAATCTCATAATTTCAATAAAATACTATAAAAAGGAACTAAAAAAATCACTGCGAAACAATAATGCCTACATTCACAGCTTTATGAAAAACTATAACTTTATAGTTGAAAAATAAAATGTGTAAAAATAGCACCAAAGATAAAATACGTTTTTAAACGTAACACAAAAAATCCCTAAAACTACTTAAAATTACCATCACACGAATGTATACAGTAAATTCCTATCGTAAAAGTGGTATACACTGTTAATGTGTCTGAGGACTTTGCCTTCAATGAGATGCCGGCCGTAATTAACAGCCTCGATCCTGTCTCTGGCCAAACCTACTTCAATGAGCCAATCGATGAATTGGGTACCAGTAAAAACGTGTCGGTACGTTTTGAAGCGCCATCTGGAAAAAAAAAGAAACACAGTTTTGAAAACTATACTGAACATGTTACTGCTTATTTGTTTCTTTTACTTGTCTAGTTTTATGTTTTTGGTAATTCTTCAATTTTTCATTGTGGTTTTAATTATATTTAAGTTTTTCTCTGTGTGAGTGTTTTTTTTTATATATAATTTTTTTATTTGCAGTGTAGTTTGAACTATTTTTTTTTCAGTAATAAATTACCTTTTACATGTAGCAATGGCAATCTTACAATTCCTTAAATGATGAGTGCTAAACTGGTCGCAAATATGCTTAGTCTCAGCACTGAGTTCGTCCCAGGCGGGCAAAGTCAATGTGTTGGCTCCAAACCATGTCTTACGCCAGAATTTGATTATGGGCAATACCACTTCCTTCACGTCCAATCCAAATATTATAAAAACTATGAGACTTTGACCGAAATTTAACATGGCATCTAGGAATGATAGTTCTACGTAGATGCCAGAAAGTTGCTCCATGACTAGTGTCCAAATGGATAGTGAAAGACCCTGAAAAAAAATCATCATAACAATTTTTTATTTCAAAAATCTTGAATTTGACGCTGTTTGCATGTAATTATATTTCAAATAGACCTTTATCAAATGAACAAAACCTATAAGTTAGGATAAAAACTATTCAATTGAACACATTGATAAGAAGCCACATTTGTCTATGGTTGAGAAAGATAGTTTCAAGAACAAACATGAGAATGTTAACCCTTACCACAAACATGCTGCACAACAACAAAATCAAAAGCACAATATGACGTAAAATCTGAGGATCATGAGAGTCAGGATCTTCCTCAATAGGTTCCAAGTCCTCATCTATAGATTGCTGATACTGGCCAACCACAGCACGGCATGCTTCTTTTTGAGGACCTTTACAGCCAAATTTGGTAGTACACCCAACGTTAGAGGTTGTTGATGTTACTTGGTGGTTGGGGCTTTCTTCATGGTTTGGTTTTGCTACAATTCTTCGTACTGCACCGTTAATGCTGCTTCCAGAAGATACCAAGTCTTCAATATCAACCACCGGAGTGGTTATTTCTTTGTCTTCACCGCAGCTCTCTTTTATGGTTGGTAGGCCATTGCATTTTATGCTTCTAGCGCCATTGTCACTGCTTGTGCAGCATGTTGCGCTGCTTGATTGTGAATTATCACCACCTGAAGAAGAAATTTGAATATTTGCAGTTGAAGAAGTCAAATATGAACTTACGGTTGATATCGGGATCAAAATCTGTAGCTATCTCATTCGATAAGTCTAAATATCGACTATAGCGGCGTCGATATCGTTGGTGTAAAATTAAACAACCAGATGTTACTGAAAAATTTGAGTATTAATTTGTAGAAATTATTTTTCTTGAATTTACTTACCAACAAAACACAAAACCAATAAAGATACAGCTACCACTGCTTGGGAGGCTCCATAAGCAAAGTTTGGATTTCTCTTTTCGAATGGTATTTTTATTGATGGATCAAAAATTAGTAAAGCTGTACAAATTATAGCTGGTATCCTGAAATAAAAAATATTCAGCTGTCAGGTTTTTTTTGCAGAGAAACTATAGGCAAAGGAGACAAGATAAAGCGGACCTCTGCTATATTGTTATGGAAAAAATCATATTTTCGCTTAACTGAATGCAACTAGACTTTGCTTGCTTATATGGTTTTAATGTTTAAAGCTATATTTAACATAGAGGCCATCATATGGTGTTTCATATTTCATAGATATTTGTGCTAGAAGCACTCGAAAACCAATTTTTGATTATTACCGATTCTTAGATATTTTCCAGAAGTTCTCATTATCCAGTAAAAGTCAAAACTTTGATCGTTATCTTGCTTGCTTTGAGATAAATTATCAAAAGAACAAGAGCCGGTTATTTTTAAAATTTCAACTATTAACGGTTGTTGATTCGCTAGATATTTCTGCTAGAAGCACTCAAGAACCAATGATAGTCCAAATTTTGATTATTACTGAATCTTGTATATTTTCCAGAAGTTTTCAATATCCAGTAAAAGTCAAAACTGAGATCGCTATCAGCTCTTGATTGCTTTGAGAAAAATTATCCAAAGAACAAGAGCTGGTGATGCTCAAAATTTGAAGTATTACTGGCTCTTGATTGCTAAATATTTCTGCTAGAATCACTCAAGAATCAATGATAGTCCAAATTCTGATTATTACTGATTCTTGTATATTTTCCAGAAGTTTTCAATATCCAGTAAAAGTCAAAACTGAGATCGCTATCAGCTCTTGATTGCTTTGAGAAAAATTATCCAAAGAACAAGAGCTGGTAATGCTCAAAATTTGAAGTATTACTGGCTCTTGATTGCTAAATATTTCTGCTAGAATCACTCAAGAATCAATGATAGTCCAAATTCTGATTATTACTGAATCTTGCATATTTTCCAGAAGTTTCCAATATCCAGTAAACGTCAAAACTTTAATCGTTATCAGCTCTTGATTGCTTTGAGAAAAATTATCCAAAGACAAGAGCCAGTAATCCTTAAAATTTGAACTATAACTGGCTCTGGATTCGCTAGATATATTGCTGCTAGAATCACTCAAAAACCAATGATAGTCCAAATTTTCATTAATACCGAAGCTTATATATTTTCCAAAAGTTCTCATTATCCAGTAAAAGTTAAAACTTGCTTGCTTTGAGAAAAATTATCCAGAGAACAAGAGCCAGCAATAGTCAAAATTTGAACTATTACCGGCTCTTGATTCACTAGATATTTCTGCTAGAAGCACTCAAGAATCAATGATAGTTCAAATTTTGATTATTACTGGTAAGTTCAAAGGAAATACCCAATAGAGTACCGTCATATAAAGAAGATATAGCACGCTCTAAAAGGAACTGATGCAGTCCCACCTAGCAAGAAATGGTGTTGGATGTTGATAAATTCTCTTGAGACAAAGGCAGTTCATACTCGGTAAAGAGAACAACAATGTAAGAAGTTAACTAAAAAGAATGTTGATTTGAATGAATGCTTAGCATATGCCTGAAAGAACCAACCAACCAACTAAAAAGAATAGAAAATATAACAGTTATTATTTATACTTTTGGGAAATTATCAATAACCAACATCAATTTTCTCGTCGATCTCAGTGAACTAATTAAATAAAAATAATAAGGCTATTTATATTATTATATAAGATATGTATATATGTTTTTGTCCATTTGCAAAAATTGAGAACCGAATCAAATCAATCATTTATTTATTTATTTATTTTCATAAGATACTGATTTCATTTTGGTGTATAGGGTTCAGAGGTCAAGAATCCTTTAAGAAGTTCATGAGTAAAGTGCTTGATTATTTACATTCGAGATTATTTTCTTACCCTTCCACCGATATAAATATTTTACAACTATAAATCTTTCATATTTCTCATTAAATAATATTGATCTTTTTCAAAAAGACATTTTTGAGTTTGAACTTACCCCCATCCTGCAACGAAAAAATACGGCTGCAACTTCAACACAAAACACAAACTTCTACATTGTAAAAACAGTAAATTTATAGACAATATAGCTGTCCATATTCTGGAACTGTAAACGCCGATAGTAAAGAATGCAAATTGTATATAGCTACGGTCTTGTGCGTCTTGCTTGATTGTGTTCCACAGAATTGCACCCAGACAACTTATAAACTAAAAAATAAATTAAATAAGTAAACATAATAAAAACAACAATAATACTTACATGAGAGGCAACTAAGCAAGTGGTAGTTTTGTGCGGGATTTTGTTAATTTTCTTTGTTAATATAAAAACAAATACAATCCAGAGGCAAGCAATTACACCTACAATGCTCACATCCAAAGTAAATTGGTTAAGCAGTTTAATATAATCTGTTGGGTTACAATTTGTAATTGTAATCATTTTGGCTGAAATAAACATCAATGGTGCGCTTAGGAATGTGCAAGCTACCATGGCACTGGCAATCTAAAAAGAATATATTTTTTTAAATGTGTAAATTGTGATTTGTTATCTATTTACCAAATCTACATCGATTAAATATTGTGTTGCAAACACAAACGCCCCAGGAGCAGTTGGAAAAGTACCATAGAAAAATCCATAAGTGCTCAAGTCCAAAGTTTCGGTTTTATTTTCTTGTGAATCTAAAAGATTCACTACTTCTCTTGTAATTAACGGCAAGCCAATTCTAAAGAATATCTATTGAAAATAGGATATTATTGAAATAAATATGACTTACAATTTGACCATAATTAAAACGCCAGGGACAACTAGAGTTGCTCCAGTCAATTTGTGAATTTTCCCTACCATTCTAAGTCCGAGCAAGAATAATGAACTAGCTGAGAAGGCTGATCCTAAAACCTTATTTTTTTTTAAGACAAATTTTCAAACCAATTTTGGTTACTTACTTTCAGGATCCCGCCCAAATACTCTGGCACCTGATGCTTGAAAATAAAATTCCCCACAATGCCCAATATAGTCATAAAAATAATAGGATTGAAAAATATATTTTTCATAATCATTATCACCATTTTGCAACGTTTCTTGTGCACAATAATTGAGCTGCTCACAGATAATACTTCTTGATTAAGTAAAGTTTCTTCGTCTTCAACTGCTAGGTTACGTTTCTTATGAATTTCCATTAATATAAAAGCTACAGGGTTTAGAACAGCTAGATTTATAGGTGCCACAAGATATAAGTAGGATGCGTACTCGGGATGGGTATTTTTGTACAAAGCGGCCACTAAAAAAAAAATATAGTTTGAGTACTATCTGACAATGAGAAGTCTAAACAGATAGATGAAACTATCATTTAATGATAATGGTTCCCTATGGAATTCCCAAAGAAACCTCTCTGCGGACCAACACAGAACGAGTTGATTCTATCATAGCCAGATGAGCTGCTATTTTTTAATAATGCTGTATTACTAGATCACTATGATTAACAGGTGAACGTAAATTCATGTATATTGGGAAAGTTTGAGATATTAATATCAAGAGAAGGTTGTATTTTGATGCCATACTGTGAATGGCTTAACCTTGGGCTTGACAGAAGTAGGAATTACAATAATGTGCCATTCAAAAACTTTCTTTGACGCTCCTTGATAGAATATAGAATGAAATATAGGGCATCTCATTTGAAAAAAGCTGGAAGCATGCAAAATTTCACATTTCTGACATTCAAATTTTGCTTTTGACCATGGTTTTTAAAGATTCAACCAAAACCGTAGAACTCTTGTATTTACACCTTTCTTCTACCTGTAAAGGTAAAGGCTGTAGTTGGGGTGTCAATACATAAAAAAACAACCTGTACAAATATTGTTCGTCGATTTTAATCTGATACTCGGACGGAATGTGAGCTGGTGGCTCCCTACATTAGAATGCCAATGGTTACCTGACGTCACACCTGTTTTTGCCATATGAAACACCCCCTCGCTCTTCATACCGCAAGTATCAGTTAAAAATCGACGAACAATAAGTGGATTATTGCGGAACTTATGGATGGACCTCTGCGGGACGAGCGCAGCGAGTTCCGCAGCCATCTACTAACCAATATACTGTTGAACTGTCCAAAAAAAACACTCACTGGAAACGTGTAGTTTTGAACTAATGAGAAAAATTCATAACTGAGTGAATCAGGTTAGTATTGTACTTGAACAACATATTGGTGAATAGATGACTGGGTCCACCCATAAGTTCCGCAACAATCCATTCGTTTGTCTTGAATAAATTGTCACAATGTATTACTAGTTTGGTAAAGTAACATTACTAATTCCTGTTGAAAGGTGAATTATTAAAAAGTGAATAATCTTACAAATTCTGACTTTATATAATAAGTTATTTTTCAAGTACAAATAAGTGGATTGTAGCGGAACTAATGGGTGGACCTCTGCGGGACGAGCGCAGCGAGTTCCGCAGCCATCTATTCACCAATATACTGTTGAACTGTTCAAGTAAGACATTCACCTGAAACATGTAGTTTTTAAACTAATGAGAATAACTCACATTTGAGTGAGTCAGGTTAGTATCATAATTAAACAACATATTGATGAATAGATGGCTGCGGAACTCGCTGCGCTCGTCCCGCAGAGGTCCACCCATAAGTTCTGCAACAATTCACTCATTTGTACTTGAATAACTTGTCACATTATGTTACTAGTTTGGTAAAGTAACATTACTAATTCCTGTTGGAAGGCAAATTGACAAAAAGTAAATAATCATATTCTTACAAATTTTGACTCTATATAATAAGTTATTGTTCAAGTACAAATAAGTGGATTGTAGCGGAACTAATGTGTGGACCTCTGCGGGACGAGCGCAGCGAGTTCCGCAGCCATCTACTCACCAATATACTGTTGAACTGTTCAAATAAGACATTCACCTTAAACATGTAATTTTTAAACTAATGAGAATAACTTACATTTGAGTGAGTCAGGTTAGCATCGTAATTAAACAACATATTGATGAATAGATAGCTGCGGAACTCGCTGCGCTCGTCCCGCAGAGGTCCACCCATAAGTTCCGAAACAATTCCCTCGTTTGTACTTGAATAACTTGTCACATTATGTTACTAGTTTGGTAAAGTAACATTAATAATTCCTGTTAAAAGGCAAATTGACAAAAAATGGATAATCTCACAAATTCTGACTTTATATAATAAGTTATTGTTCAAGTACAGAGTGTTTTTTTATGTATTGACACCCCACCTACAGCCTTCACCTTTACAAGTAGATGAAAGGTGTAAATACAAAAGTTGTACAGTATTGGCTAAATTTTTAGAATCCATGTTCAGAAACAAAAATTTAATGTCAGAAATGTGAAATGTTGCATGGTCTTAGCTTTTTTCAAATCGGATGCCTTATATTTGGCTTTATATTCTTGAAGAGCACATTTTCCTGATTCTAAAACTATATAGTTTGTCTATACAGTAGTGTCGCGATAATCCGATCCCGCGACAATCCGTATGCTTCTGTAATCCGCATCGCATTTTCCGTTCCCTTGATGTACTCTGTAATCCGGATTTTACTTGATTTAGTAATCCGAATTCATTTACATGACTGTTGAAAATAAAAACACAAGTTTTCACTTGTCCTTCAAATGATTAGATAGTTTTTACATGTCTACACGCATCATTCAATACGCAGCGTCCTTCCTTACTGTGTGGGCTTTTTCAAAGAAAATGGCACCTATTAAACGCAAACACAAAACTTTAAGTCAGCGATTATAGACGAGCTGAAACGCGGAGTTAGTGGCAAATATTTAGCTTCAACCATCAGCGACATTAAGAAAAAGCGGACTGTAAAATGCCTTAGTAATCCGAATAATTTGATAATCCGGATTGGTCTGCTTTAATTGATCCGGATTATCGCGACACTACTGTATTTGGTTGAGCCGGCTCCAACATATTTGGTTCTAAAAATTTTAAAAATTTTATCAGAGCAATCTATATATTTACACCTTTTTTCTACCTGTAAAGATAAAGGCTGTAAGTGGGGTGTCAATATATAAAAAAACACCCTGTACTTTTCTGTTGCGTTATTCTTATTTTGCTTGATTTGTTCTTTATAATAATAACGCTTAGCTTCGTTTATGAATTTATTTAGGGTATTTACACAGCATATTTCTATAGGTTTTGTATCTTGCAAATAATTTTTATTTTTAACTGTCTCTTTTACCATATTAACCTGGATCCCAATAGAATTAATAGTTTTCTCTGTTATCCATTATTTTTTTCCTATTTCCTGCTTTTTTTCAATTTGATTTTTATACAAGCACACCCATAAAAATTTTATGAAAACAGATTCCACACATCCACAGCAATGTCACACAAAGTAACCACAGACCAGGCTTTAGGAACTTGATTCCATCAAATTGGCATCTTGCAAGATTCAAAATCAACAATTCATCAAAATGTTTGCAGGCACTAGAAATATTGAAGAGTAATATTTCCAATTTCTTATCTTTGGTGTTTAATATGTTCTTAAATTTGAGCATGTCAGGTTTTTATGTTGATATTTTGTGTTTGAATGATCATTTCCTCCAAACTCCATACACTAAATTGAAAAATTCACTCCAAATTTCATACAATATACAGTCAACATGGAGTTCAGGTGAATTTCGCATAACAACTCATCCCCTCTAAAATTATAGTTGATGTGTTACAGAGATTTTTCAACTCTGAGAAATAGAGGTGGTAAGTTTTAAAATGAACACACCCTGTATAAAAATAATGAGAAAAAAAGAAAAAAACCACCTGAAAAATAAATTTTAGATCAGATTTAAAATATGCCATTCAATTAGAAGAATAATCCATTTCGTTTTTGTGCCATTACAAGAAAAACTTTGCAATTTCGGTGTTGAAACTACCGCCTTCAACCCGGTAGCACACTTGTTTGTTTACCATTTTATTATTATTTAAGTATCAAAGAATATTCTAAACTAATAGTCCAAGAAACGGAGATCTGAAAAGAGGGGTTACCTCAACATAATTAGAAGTTGAAATTTTTTTGGGGGGATCGGTTCATTTTAATATGCTAAACAACATATTAAGTTTGCGACCTTGTACTTCCATAGGGTTTTCAGTTAGGGGTGGTTTTTAGGGGTAATTTGCGGTTTATGGAGAACGCTGCACAAAGGGATGGTTCAATAGTAAAAAGTTTCAAATGAATGTTGTAGCTGAAGTTTTTTGCTATAAAAAACTCAGCGACAGCACCCCTCTATCTTCTATAGTTTTTTTTCTGCAGCTTCTTGAATAGTAGCATGTTTTTGTTCAAGGTCACTGAATCAACGTTTTGCCATTTTGCGCGCATTTGTTGCAGCAGCGGCCGAATGCATAATCCGATTTCAATTTTTCAAACACCACATTATTTCTAATGAAATGCACTCTCCAATGCTTTTTTGTTCGAATTTTTTGCTTGAAAATTAAGCGAGCACGGACTTGTCTAATGTGCGAGGAAGTTGTAAATTGCATCGAAAACTACCCCTTTCTTGCATTCACTCTAATTTCTAAACGGGGCCAAATATTTGGTGACAGTTTTCGACAATCGGCAGCCCATTTATTCCTCTCATAATGCCCCAGCGGATTTTTTTTTTTCGTTAATCACTTAATGACTTATTGGCCTGAAAACGTCGCGCGGGATTTTTCAAAAAGTAAAAAATAATTAAAATTGTCGCATAGCGCAGAAATTTGGTACGATGGCCTTATTTATTGTTCTTACGAATATACTGCAATTTTAATTGCTTCACATGATATAAAATTGCAGTATAATCATGAGAACAATAAATAAAGCCATCGTACCAAATTTCAGCGCTATGCGACAATTTTAATTTTTTTTTACTTTTTGAAAAATCGCGCGCGACGTTTTCAGGCCAATAAGTCATTAAGTGATTAACGAAAAAAAAATCCGCTGGGGCATTATGAGAGGAATAAATTGGCTGCCGATTGTCGAAAACTGTCACCAAATATTTGGCCCCGTTTAGAAATTAGAGTGAAGCAAGAAAGGGGTAGTTTTCGATGCAATTTACAACTTCCTCGCACATTAGACAAGTCCGTGCTCGCTTAATTTTCAAGCAAAAAATTCGAACAAAAAAGCATTGGAGAGTGCATTTCATTAGAAATAATGTGGTGTTTGAAAAATTGAAATCGGATTATGCATTCGGCCGCTGCTGCAACAAATGCGCGCAAAATGGCAAAACGTTGATTCAGTGACCCTGAACAAAAACATGCTGCTATTCAAGACGCTGCAGAAAAAAAACTATAGAAGATAGAGGGGTGCTGTCGCTGAGTTTTTTATAGCAAAAAGCTTCAGCTACAACATTAATTTGAAACTTTTTGCTATTGGACCATCCTTTTGAGCAGTGTTCTCCATAAACTGCAAATTAACCCTAAAAACCACCCCTAACTGAAAACCCTATGGAAGTACAAGGTCGCAAACTTAATATGTTATTAAGCACATGAAAATGAACTGATCCCCCCCAAAAAATGTTAACTTCTAATTATGTTGAGGTAAACTTCCTTTATTGCTTGGACTATAAATAAAGTTCAGTTGCTCGTTCAGTTGTGCTACAAAGATTTTTTCAGAAGCATTTATTCTAATATTAGTGTTGAATTTTCCTTCTTTACATATTCGGTGATGTAATTCCAAAGTCTAATCTATAAAGGGGGTTGTGGTAGTATCTATTATTACATAAAATAATAATAACCTTGATTTAAACAGCACACCAAAGTTAATAATTTGGTACCTATACTATTTATATATTAATTTGCACTACTTATTTGGACGACTGTAAAATTTTGATTTTCCTTTCCGTTGCTAACTTCTATATAAGCAAAGTTTATAAAAGATAAGTATGTCCAAAAAAAACCTTATAATCTATACTATTATACTAAACTGCTGGACAAATGAAACGGAACAAGGGAATTTTTAATTAAACTTTGGATGCCAATATAACACGAACTAAAGAAGAAATTTCTGAAGAAATCAATGGGCGGTTTGACTAATTTAAAACATAAATCCTCAAACCGCTCATTGATACCTTTTTTAGCTCGCGTATTATTGGAATTTGAAGCTAACCTAAACATTCGCTTGTTCCGTTTCATTTGTCCAGCAGTTTATTTATACTATGATTCACATTGAATTTATCTTTGGATCCAAGACAATTGCAACATCTTTTAATTACCTTGAGACATTTATTGACATTATATGCTTAGAGATTAGGGAAAGTTGATGGCCTTTGTTCAAAGATTGACCTCATTCAAAGAGGTCCAGACATGATACCTAAGCATGATAAATTCTTCTAAAGGTACTTACAGCTTACCACGATCCTAAATGTAAAGTTTCAAAACTCACCTATGGGATATCCAATGGCAAAGTCATTACTCTGTGTACAAAATATCGCAAAAATCCCAGCTCTTCCGAGATTCACTGGCCTCCCAACCAACAAAGTAACAATTATCACAGTAAAAAATACTAAACTTTTCGCTACCAAGATTGACAACAAAAACATCCAATTTACTGAACTTAAATCTAATTCAGCCAGAGACATGAATATAAGAGCTGGTAGGGAAAATGTCCCTACGAAGGTATTCATACCTTTGGCTTCGGTTTCTGATATAAGATTCATGCGTCCAGCTGCATAGCTGGAAAAAAGTAATAAAGCATATTGGATTTATTTAGTTATTGGAAGCATTATTTACTTACCCGCTTAATATAATAGCGAAACATTGCAGTAATGCTGGATAGAGATTCTCGATTGCAGCTCCCATTGGGGCCTCCATTATGGGTTTGTGGTTTAAAATTTTCACTATAGGTTTCTAACAGCTACATATCAAGTTGCCACAGCGTGTTAAAGTTGAAACTTTTCCTATTGATACTAGAAACGTGGGTGAAAAATCAATATTTTAGAGTACAGCACAAAAATTTTGTAATTTTTTTGCATATCTACTCACCAAATTTGGGCCACAAAAAACCACATATTTTGAAAGTATTTCTAATTTTTACCGATTAGTCATTGTGATAATTAGTTCATACTGATGAATTTTATCAGTTTCCGGAAATTTAAATTAGTTGACCCATTAATAAATTGTTGGAGACTGCCAAATCCAAAGTCCATAGAAGGGCGAAAAGGCCAAACAAAACTCAGCTGACTAACCAAAGAAGTCACGTAGGCCACTCGAGAGTTTATTGGTTTGATCAACTTGCAACATTTGTTGTCTTTCTTCAACACAAAAGCTAGAGGCAACCGATATATACTTAGTTTAATAGCGATTTCTTTTTACAAATTAGTGCGCATTGAATGCATTATTAGGTCGTTTCTGAGAAATCACAAACCAGTCAGAGTGAATTTCATTATTGGTTCGAAACCATATAAGTTGAAACTAGTTTTCTGACTGTTTTCAACCAATGAAATTCGCTCTGACTGGTTTGTGATTTCTGCAGAAACAGACCTATTATGCTACTAACCTGAGAAATAGTCATTATTCAATCTATTTTTCTAGGAAAAAAATTTAATTTCTCTCCCTAGGTTAATAATGAAAATGACGTCATGACGCAAGGATATTGTTATGTTTGTATTGGTTTAATTTCAATTTCATACGTCAATTAAAAAAAAAAATCAGGCTTCTGTAGGTATCAAGGTAGGTACCATCGTCACCAAAAGTAACTGGGACAACATCATGTTAGCTCTTGTACTATTATATGATTTTAAGTGTCAAATATTTGTCAAATTATGAATTAAATGCATTGAAATGAATGACAGTAGACTTAATCCAGGAGATTAATATGAATTAATTTTGTCCCAGATACTTTTGGTGACGATGGTACGGTACATAGGAAGTTACAATAAGCTGTTGATAGAGGGTAGCACTTTTAAGAAGGCGTTCAAAAAAATAATTAGAGCACAGATTACAAATTATTCATTTTCCACTAGGGGCCGGTTTCTCAATAGCAGGTCACCTCCGAGTTGAGCTAACTCCAGGGTAAACATTGCAATTTGACACGTTAACCCTGGAGTTAAAACCAACCCGGGGGTGACTCGCTATTGAGATACCGGCCCTAGCAGTAGTAAAAAAATATCTAATTCTCGGTAGAGAAAGTCATTATATATACCTCACGTATCACGCATTATAAACCTCAACTATTTTAGGGGAGCCCTTACGATAAGTATTCCCTAAAATGACATTTTTACATGGAGAAATGTTAGTTTAATGGCCATTTCCACCAACTATTTTAGGGAAGCCCTAACGATAGGTAGACCTTAAACTGACATTTTTCCATGTAAAAATGTCATTTTAGGGAATAGTTATCGGGCTCCCCTAAAATAGATGGTGGAAACGGCCATAAGGCATACCTATTGTTAGGGCTTCCCTAAAATAGTTGGTGGAAATGGCCATTAGAAAAATTAAGAAGAAAACGAAAACTGAAGATCTGGGAATAGACAAAATATGAGATGGAAAAATTGAAAAATAAAGAATAAATAAATATATACTTAGATAATAATAATATTAATAATAATACCTGAATAAACATCAAAAAATTTGCAAAAATATGGCGACAGGGGCGTGGCTAACTTCTATATTCATATTCAAAATTTGCAAGAATATGGCGGCGGTACCGAATTTCTATTTGAAAAGGTGAGGTCATTGTAGGTGGGCGGGGCCAAGAATCGTAAACTCTAGAGTTTACGATTCTTGGGGCGGGGCCATTGGAAAGGGTTGAAAAGGAAACAATCAAATACCTTGACGATACATAGACCCCGGAAAGGGGCGGGGCTCAACTAACCAATTAAATGCCCTGCTGATATCACTCGCATCTGATTGGAAAGGGGCGGGGCCTATATCCAACCTATCAAATGCTTTGTTGATATCCTTGCGTTTGATGACGAGTCAGCCACAGTGTTGCCAGCTTGACGGAATTATCCCCTTTTTGCCTTTTTGAGGAAATTTTCTATTTTCGTTCGCAAAAGGGTAGAAGCGGAAAGCGGAATTTTCAAAGTCTGTTTTTTTTTTAAGATAAAATTCAAAATGACATTATGTTGGCAAAACACTGTTAAATTGTCGATGCTTTCAAATTTTTTATGTAGAGAAGGCTTGTGTTGCCAACAACATAGTTACTAAATTTTTAACTCTCAAAATAGGGTGGAGCGTGGAGCGTTGGGCTCCAGTTCCGGATCGAACTGATCCTAGATCATAATTTCCGACAACACCTATCTAGTAAAACGAATTTACTTTGTCATCATTTTAAATTTAAAGTTACTTCCGCTTTGACCCAAGGTTCCTAAAGTTGATAGGTTGCCTGATGGTAATAGGTAACTTGATAACGCATCTGGCTGGGGTGCCTTATGGAGACTTGCATTATGTTGAGGCACCCAGATGACGTCATAAAGTTATCAGAGGTGCTTTCCAGTGACCCATTTGAGTTATTCCTGAGCAGCTCAGGAGTGCGTTCCAGTGTGCTTATGTCGAACAGTTCAAGAGAGTCACACTCCAAGAGCATTATACTCTAACAATTTACGCACTGGAAAGCAGCTCGCAACCTACCTACTCTCAAACAACCTTGGCTTTGACCGGAAATGAACCGAATTTTCTTTTTCAATTGGGACACGTTGCATATTTTTACTTATTTCCAAAGAAAATGCATATTACTGGTACGACCGAGTCATGGTAACAACACGAGTGCTACAATGACGTAACCGTACGTGTGACATACAAAATATTATCTACGACCCAGTTTTGTTGTCTTATGTAGTCAAAATGGTTCTCATTATTCACATCATAACAAATTTTGGAAAATATTTCTTCACTTGAAGCAAAGCTTCTTTTAATATATCTTTTAATATTTGAAAGGTATACAAAACAAATACAGCACAGGAGCACAGGTGCCAGGTGGTGTTATCAGCATCCAGGTATCAGTTGTATTTTAATATTTATAAAAAACAAAGCATTTATTTGAATAAATAAATTGCAAAAAACTACTGTTTTTTAATAAAATTGAGTTACGTACCTTGGTACCTACATGACTAGTGATAAAACGAGCTCATTACATCACTTGTAGGATCATACAACTTATTACGAAACTCAAACAAGCTAAAATATGTTACTTACTTAATGACTTCTTTAATAGCTGCTTCGAGGTTGAAAAACTTAAGATTGATGAGGTCTCCCAAAGATACAAGCAAGAACTTTCCCGAAGAATAACAACCAAGAAACTTAAAGTGTTGAGGAGCATTGGGATAAAATTAAATCTGCGAAATGCCAGGAACCGCAATGCAAATGATAGGCAAGAAGAAGAGACAGGAAAGGGCGAACTGGCTTGCGATGGGTGCAGAAGGGCCGTACAAGGTCGGAATACAGCTCATAAGGCTTACGTCGAGAGAAAGAAGATCTGTATTTGAAGAGGCTGACAAAACATGCCGCAAAAAGAAGAGAAAATCCGAAAACGAGAAAATGCTGGAACTTCACTTTGAAAACAATAATTTAAAGGCGGCTTAATAAACATCTATACGCAGTTTGAGAGAAGGATGCAAACCACGCAAGGATAAATAACCAGTGATTCACAACAAATCAAGAATCAAGGACGCCATGGAAAACATACTTCCAAAATTTATCGCAAAAAAATGATCAACACATGGAAATGCCAGGTGCAGGAGAAAGAGAGGAATAGTGATCGAGACCTCAACGCATTGGTTTCAAAGATCTGTACAGAAGAGCGAATCCCGAAGACTGGAGAAATAACCTCATTTACGAGAAAGGAGACAAATTGAGCTGCGGAAACTATCGAGGAGTTATCCTCCTATGCACTGCCTCTAAGATATAAACGTATATAGATATCCTGAATAAGCGTTTATACAATCTCCGAGAAAATCATTCGTGAATATCAAGGCGGCTTCAGACAGAATCGCTCTACTGCAGCCCGCCTCAGACACTCAGACCTCTTTGTGTTGAAACAAAAGCTTAGTGAAGCGTGGGTGGGAACATGACATCAACATTCATAACATTTTTTCATCTTTATAGACTTCAAAAGAGCATACGACCCCATCAATAGAGTTCGACTATTTCAAGTTCTTTTAGCTTCAGCATCCCTCTCAAATATATCAGACCAGTAAAAGCCACAATGTAAACCACAACGACGACAGTGCAAATATAAAACGAAATAACTGACTATGTTCAACATAAACAAAGGGCTCAAGCAAGGAGATGGACTAGCTCCAACACTGTTCAACTTGGCGCTCGAGTACGTGATCGGAAAAATACACGTAGAAAGATCAAACCTATTAACTATAAGTCATTACAATTAGCGGCATACGCAGATGACAAACACATCATGTCTCGTAGAGCAAAAAACACACCAGAAATATATATGAATCTGGAGAGAGAAACTATAAACAAAGACGCTAACAGTACTTACACAGATCCCAATAACAATGACAGGCGCACTAGAGTTGTGGACGACCTTGAAGCTGTTAAGAGCTTCAAATACCTGGGATTAGCTTTTATAACTTCGGGTTTCTCTACTAGTGGTTCATATAAGTATTTGCTTTGTCTTTGAACAAAAACTGGTCATGGATTAGCTAGCCAGCTTAGTTCAGCTTTGCCTAACATCGATTTATTTCTTGTACTGAACATTTTTTCATGAGTACAATTAAAAGCTGTACAGGAGAGAGCGAATGTAAAGCTTCTTCTGACGTAGTTCTATCCAATTAATGGATTTCGAGTCCTTGAGAGTTTAAACACAGGATAATACTCTTCCAAATTATTCCATTATGTAGCGTTCTATTTGGCCATTACCTTTCGGATTACATGAACTACTTCGACCCAAGTATGATTTTCATTCTTCAGGCACAAAACTTGATCCTTGACCTGAATGAATGTAGTGTGGCAAAAATCTCTGGTCTAATGTGTTTGTTTCTAATACAGAAAAAATACTATAGGATCAATAGATACAACAACAGAACGAGCAATATCATCCTCAATCCTTAAAACGCCTTTGAATTCACGAGAATATGAATTTTCTCAGAAAATCATGAAATCCAGTAAGAAAACATTTTTAGTAGGTACCTATACAAAACATCCCAATTTTGATGGATCTGGTCGTATATAGTGCCTTTGTCTATCAGATAATCAAGAAGTCTTACGGTTTTGATAGAAAATCTACTTTTCTATTCATGTTTATATCAAGTTTTTTGGATATAGCTGTCATGGTTTTGATCATGATCCTGTTGCGTCAATCCTCAGATTATCACTTCGCCTCGGTTAGCAAAAATTCCGATTAAATTTCCATTTTCAATTATTCCAACGATAGCTCTTTGGAAGCAGGAAACTCACAATAGTAAATATTCATATTTTGTATTTTCGTCTCAAGGAAACGTTATCGCTTGACCAAACATTAATATAGTAGGTACCCTCCTATTGCAATATACATATCTACATTTTTAAATACTTTTTACTTTCTATTAATAATAAGGTATAGGTACCTAAGGTTTCTTTAAATTAGGTATTTAAAAATGTTCAGGTTTAGAATTATCACACCTTATTATTCCAAAACATTTTAGTACTTGTAGTACACCTTTAAAAACCATAATAAATCAGGTTTTGTCCTTGATACAAATCATTTTTACTTACTTCCTTCTATGTGGTTCTATTACAATAATTTCCATTCTATTTAAGTACAGGTAGAGGTGTATGTTTTGAAAAATATTGCTTCCATAGATACCTACATAATAATTCTACTTTGTAATTTATTCGATTAATCAGATTTGAAACTTTTTTGGTGTCTCCCCAAATAATCAATTTTTAAATAATCTCAGTAAAAAGGAAAGTTGCCAAACATTTTTGGGCGACCTCCTTTGGAACCCATCAAATTAAGCGACTTCGACCTGTTGCGATTTTTAATAAGTACCGATTTCCAAAAACATTACAGAAATTTTCGTGCTATATTATAATGTCAACGAACGTATGTAATCTATAATAAATACCTAATTAAATAACTTCCAAAGTACATGGGCAATAATTATCATTATTTCTTTGGTCATTGGCGACAGTCATCAATGAAGAAAATGAAAGTGAAATCCGCAGACATAGGCTCGACCGATTAGTACCTTGTAGTAGTACCTACGTTATAGTGCGGTGGTTCTTTTGCTCATTTTATTATTACGTGTTTTGCGTGAATTTGTTTTACATAACTTGACATTGTGTTTTGAATTTGAATATTTGCGCGTTCTTCAGGGTTGCTATTGCAACTTGTTGCAATTAGGTTAATTGTATTGGATAAGGCGTTAATGAGAAAATGAATTTTGAAATTTGTTTTGTTTTGTTGAATGTAATTGGTAAGCATAGTTACCTAGATAATTACAAATAGTTATCAGAGGTATTAAGTATACCTAATAAAGTTTAGATGAAAGATATACCTATGGTTTAAAAATAAAAAGGAGAGTTTCTTTCAAACAAAATTGGCTGCGATGAGTCTTGACGCAATTTAAGTATGTAGGTAACTAGACAAACTGCGGTCTCTATTTTCTATTTGAAACTTATGGCAGATGTATTTCTTATGGGGGATTCGCAGCAACACCATTGTCTAGTTTTAGTCTACTATGCAACTTCTGTTGAAAACTTATTTGGTTTTTAGGCATTCACAGTTTCATCATCCCTGATGAGCTACCATCCCTTTTGTCAATTATATACTCCAACATCCCAACGTTGAAAAAAGGTAAAAATTTGTGTTAGGTACATGGATTTTAACTCCCGTCACTTCATAGGGATTATAGGATTAATTTTTGGAACGCTACTATATTTTAAGACCAACTTGTTCTTTTCCAAATACTTGGTCGGTTTTTAGATAATAATATAACGTTCCTACTTATAACATTTTTAGGTACTGACTCTCGCATTGGATGGGGTTTCAGATTGGGCGACAGAGCAGATTTTCAAATATTAACAGAATTTGGACCTCAACAATACACTCAAAAATTAGCTAACCAAGAGGACGAAAACGGATCCAATAAAAGAAGCACTTTAGAAAATTTGGCCAATACTTTGTACGCTCAAAGACAACAGGACAAAAAGCAGCAACATGCCAAAAAACATCAACAGGACAAAAAGCCGCAACATCAAAAAGAAAATGCAGTAAGAATTAAGAAGTTTGTCTAATAAAATTCAAAGTAATAAGATTTTTTTTTATTATAGACGGATTTAAAATCTGGAAGTGATCAATGGTTAAAAAATTGGAGTAAAACAATGGAAAAAACAGAAGAGCTTAAGCCGACAACACAAAATGTCCCTTCAAATGCAAAACCTGGACTTGGTATTGGAGAAATTGATGCTAAATCAGTACGAAAAATTTAATAAAATCATTCGCCAAACATTCAAGTGCGTTTTTAGGTCATCCCTGATGATTCTATATTGGAGCAATTAGAAAACCAGAAGCAAACACCTACGACTACTCGCAAGCCATTGAAGAAAAGTAGTGAGTACGGAAAACCTGCCCCTGCCAATCAAACTCTTCTTGAAATACTGACGCAAGATGATAGATTGAATATTTCAGCTGATAAAAAAGATCAAAGTCCATTGGATGATGTTAGTCTTGAATAGAAAATTGTATAGTTATTGTAGATTTGCTAAACATATAGACAGGACCAGGCTAATAGACACATAGGCTTCGATAGGAGGAGTTGACTATAGTACCTATTTCACTGCAGGATTGTTATGATCGATCATTGAGCTAATTCGTCTTATCACTGCCTATCTGTCTAGTAGGTTGGTCCGGTCCTCAGATTTAGTCCGGTCTGTATATTTGTAAATAATAGATGTAAATATAGTGGTCACACAATTTTTTTGAAAAATAGTGCTTCTATATAGCAGTTTTTGAAATTCTTACATACAGGAATATATCTAGTAATGCCTTTAGTCCAAGGCATTATCTAAGAAGCACTCTAGAACTTTTATTGCTGACTCTATACGATTCCTTTTGGGATTTCCCTCGTTATATTGTAGTCTACATGTACGAGTACCCCTTTACTTTCCTTCACATAGGTATTAATGTGGTGTATTGATCATGATACACAACGATTTTCTCAGCATATTTAAATTCAGAAATTTGATCATTTTCTGGAGGAGTAAGTTTTTGAGGTTTCTGTTGTGTATTGTAGTTGTTTTAACTTGTATCCATTGGGGATTTAGAGATCTCCTTCTGGGAATATTCAATCATTCATGGATAAACTGAAATCCCGTTGCTGTGTAAGTTGTTGGATTCTTTTAATTTGTGTATACATATCGATCAGCCAACCAGACTTACAGCTTTGTAATCATCTGTCCTGGATTATATATGCTCTAACATCGATGCAGACTCAATGGACTACTGGGTTGTCCGATCATATGAGGCTGAACACTGTTGCCCCCCTTTAAATGTACGTACATACTGAACTTGAAAAAAAAAACAACGTGGTAGACAGTAGACGGTATACAAGAGGGAACTTGGTAAAATTTAACTGATTCATGCACAAACTGAGTGGAATGGTGTTTTTGCCACAGACGATTCATTTAAAACGCTTCACGCTATTGTTCATAATGCCATGATATACCAAAGGATAACGTATCTCTGGGAAAAATGTTCTCATTATTACATAAGAAAATACTCGATGAACAACCAAGATTTCACTCAATACTTTTATAAGTATCGCAAAATTTACCGACATTCCATAAGACTCGCTAAGGCCATGTACGTATATTACCGTCCAAGAATCAAACAATCTTTTAGCACAACCAAAGAATCATGAAGGATTGTTAGCGACTTATTGGAGAAGAATACTAATTTAAAAAAAGTGGCTATAAGCAAGTTTAAAGCTAATGATCTTAACAACTTTTACTGTAGAATTACATCAACGATTGCATCCAGTCTATGCGCTAGTATTCATCAACCGCTTGATCCCAGGCGCTATCTGAAGCACATATATTGGTGGCTGTGATACAATACAAGAAATTAAGGAAATTATTTGCGAGTATAAAAATAAAAATTCATCGAGTTGGGATAATCTTTCTTTGAGGGTTGTGTCTTGTTTGCCTGATGAGATCTTGCTAGTTTTTGCGAGAGATATAGATAGTTCCTTTCTGTCGGGCGAATTCCTTGTGTGTCTCAAACAAGCTGTGATTATTCTCTTGCATAAGGGTGGAGGGTGGAGACCACGATACGCCGTCAAAATTTCGTCCAATAACGCTGCTACCTATTTTGGCTAAAATAGTAGAAACGCTTGTAAAGAGGAGAATGCTAGCCTTTCTCAGTGGCCTTCCTTAGACATTTTCAGTTTTCTTGAGCTGCTCTATAACCAGTTGATCAGTGGGGAGGAGACCTCGGCAATGTTTTGTGACTTATCCAAAGGCGTTTGATTGTGTGAAGCTTGAATGGTATGGTTTGGTGGCGCTGCTTTGAGACGGATGAACCTCCATAGGGCTCTGTGTTGTCTACTACTGCTGCTACTCGTCCAAAAGACAGTACTTTTCGGACTACTCACATAATACTTAGATTATTACAGGGTAAATATAATTTTTTCACCTACTAACTTCAGATTTCAATTTTATAAAAAACAAAAAAACATTTCAATAAATACAAAATTTTATTGCACTGACCCCTATACACATTGATCACCTAATTTTATCACAGCCAATGGTTTATAAAACCCATCATCTCCTTTCAGAGTCATATGGGATAAATGTAAACTATCAAAGTCACAATCTCCAAATTCAAAATCTTTAAATTTTTCAAATATTTTTGTAGCATCTATGCTAAGCCTTCGCCTCTTTCTTTTAGGGCTTGTTTTATCTTTCCTATATTTGGTATTAATGATGGTCATATGCAACTTGACATTCTCTTGATACTTTTTCAACAAGCCTTTTTCGTAAAAATGATGTGATAGGGCATCAATTATTGTTTGTAAATTATTATCGTTTGTTTCATTTAGCAATCTCACATTTGCATAAATGACGTCAGTTTTTTCAATATTATCATTCATGCAACTGAGAGATGCTATGTTCAGTTTCAATGGGCCAAGTTTTTCTAGAGTACTTTTATACTCGTTTAGCACTCTTATGGCTTCGAGTTTTTCATCATCATCTAACAGACTAAATACATCAATGGTTATATGCAACTTTAATGGGCTTATGAAAATACTTTCATGAAATCCATCAACTTCTTCTTTCATATATAAAATTTGCTGCTTTAGGCTTTCAAATTTTTCTCGTATAGATGGGGTCGAGCATGGGATGCAAGTAAATTGAAAAGGTAAAGTTCGGCTTCTTACTTCTCCTATAGCTGAATGGATGTGAGCTACTGCTTTGACTAAATCAATAGTGTTTTGGCTGCTTAAAGTAATGTCGCTCTCCTTTCCATAACCAGGGATGATTATTGTTGCGTTGGTGACTTTCGATATTTTTTCAATATCAAATTTTGGGAGAGTAAAGAGTTTTGCTTTGTAAAGTTTAGGCACTTGAATTTGAGTTGTGAAATTACCCTTGTCTTCGGTTATGTCCAGAAGCTTAATGTATTCTTCGTGAGGAATAATTTGTGATTCATCATCATGTTCATGGTCCGTTTTTGGTTTATTTAATTTCTTGGTCATTTCACTGAATTTTTGTATGGGGAAAGTTTTGCCCTGGATCCACATTTTTATTGGTTTAGATCCTGACATAATTTTACTGAAAAATGATAAAAGTGCTTGAAGCAAAATAATGTTTGTTTGTTTGTTTGTTTGTTTACAAATAATAATACAAATTACGTATTTCCATCATTTGACCTTGAACCTTTGACATGACATCTGACATCCCAACAAGCATTGACAGGTTCAGGTTTTCATCCTCGTGGATGTTCCGATATCAACTGTCAGTACTGAATTTACTGGACGCCGTTCCGATTATTTTCAGTACATTGGATTCAGTCGATTACTAGTACAGAATGACCACAAGAGTACGCTTGAAATCGGAACGGAAATGACAGTAAAATCAGCACAGTAAATCCAGTACTGGCAGTTGATGTCGGAACATAGCCTATATGTACTCCCTGTTCTAAGTGTTCTATATTTGCTTGACCTGCGCCGAACTGAACTCCAATTCACATCAAGGGTGCAGCGTTCTAACATTCATTCAAATATCAGAATCTCTTCACATAAAAACATTGAGGTATAAATGAATAATGAAGACACACGATGAATAATTGGTTTTTGATATTTACCTTGCACCGTCCGAACCATGTCCGAACACTCCGAACTAGTGATGTAATGTGAACAAAAAAAAGAAGAGCCTTTCACATTCAAACACATAACCTCGTTTCTTGGCACGTGCGTCACGTTTGACAGCTGTTCTATCACTCTAATGTTTATTTTGTTGTTTTAAATTTTCTTTAAATTAAAATTTAGGAACAAAATGGGTAAACTTAATGTAAGTTTGATGAGATACCTCACCCCCGAGGATTTTAGAGTCCTTACAGCGATAGAAATGGGTATGAAAAATCACGAACTAGTCCCAGGCCCTATGGCAGCCTCCATAGCCAATTTACAACACGGTGGGGTGCATAAGCTTTTACGAGAACTTTGCAAACATAAATTGTTGAGCTACGAAAGAGGAAAAAGATACGACGGTTATCGCCTCACTAATTCTGGCTATGATTATTTAGCTCTGCATTCTTTGACTAAGCGTAATGTCGTAGCATCGTTTGGGAATCAAATTGGTGTTGGAAAGGAGAGTAATATCTATATTATAGCGGACCCAGAAGGACAAGAAATATGTCTTAAGTTGCACAGGCTTGGACGTGTTTGTTTTAGAAAGGTTGCTGAGAAGAGGGATTATCATAAACATAGGTAAATATAGGAGATACGATGCAAGAACAGTCTAAATTAATGTTCAAAATAACTAAAAACAAATTAATTGATTAATAAATTTCCTCATTCAGCAATAGTTCACAATGTACACAAATATACTACAACTTGATGTAGATAGAAATAAATAAAAGAAACCCTTACAGCAATAACCATAACCCTTGCTGTAGTATATCCTTCCTATCTTCCTACCCCTGCTTAATAAGATACGGTGCACTATAAGGTCTGTTTCTGCAGAAATCACAAACCAGTCAGAGTGAATTTCATTGGCTGAAAACAGAAACTGTCAGAAAACTAGTTTCAGTCAATGAAATTCCCTCTGACTGGTTTGTGATTTCTGCAGAAACAGACCTATTGTATAAGTATGTCGATTTTAATCTGATACTTCAAAGGAACGTGAGCTGGTGGCTTCCTACATTAGAACGCCAATGATAACCTGACGTCATGCCTGTTTTTGACATATGAACCACCCCCTTGCTCCTCATACAGAAAGTGTCAGATTAAAAACGATGAACTTTACCGAGGACTTTACTTAGAATACTGTGTGTGCACCTGGTTTCCTTGATAAATTGAACTTACTTAGTTGAGGTTATCTACCTTTACTTTACTTCCCTAACAAGTCAACAGCTATAAACCACTATAATGTGAAAAAAAATAAAAAATTAAACTATAATAACTCAAGTAATAACCATAACAACCACAGTACAGAGTAATACTAATAACATTTTCAATCCTTAATAAACATTCTACTCAGAAAATAAAGCTTTATATCCCTACCCGAGTCCCTACCTATTCCTAATATGGACCTATGTAACAAATTTATGTAACAATGTTAATTTTATACTCATTATCCATTCATTTATTTCCCTCTTAGCCCTTCGTTACTTTTTTCCTTAAAACTACTAGCAAAATTATATACCTTCGGGCCAACACAGTGCATATGGTTCTGGCAGGCTCTATGTTTTGGATTCTGCAGCTCAACTTTTCCTTGTGCAGTACTCCTAGTATTTAGACCATGCTTTATGTTCTCTTTGAAGTGAGATTTCTCAAACATGAACCTTACCATAGATTAAATATACATTTGGTCTATGGTCAATAAGCCACTTTCTTTATAAACAAGGTCACTTGGGTATCTTTTCTTTTTGAAACGGATGATTTTTATTATCCACACTTAGTTTTGACAGTATTGTTGAGCCTGCATCACCCCAAACAGCCAACCCATAAATAATAATAGATTCTACCAAAGAAAAGTAAATAATTTTCAGTGTTCTAAAAGGTATCATATTTCTTAACTCATAAAACTTGTAAATTGTTTCTCTTACCTTTGCAGTTACATAATTAACATGTTCTTTCCAATTCAGATTTTCATCCAATATGACCCCCAGTTATTTTATCGATGTTTTTCTTTTAATAAAGTTATCACACTTACATTGCATGTCCAATTTGCATTGTGGATCATGAATTCTAATGTGTTGCATTTCAGGCAGGGTGTGTGAGAGGAAAGTGAGAAGTTAACAAAATTGGTTGTGTCAGTATTCAGAGAGAGTAGACTCATGTCTAACCATATTTTAACTTTTTGTAATGCTCTTTCAGCCTTCTGTTTCAAATACTAAGTAATGTTGTTCATGTTAACGAGGTTCATTCATGCAACACAATAATATCCAACTTGGTAATGCCAGAACAAACAAAGCCGTCTATAATATAAGTGAAGCATCAAAGATTGTCAACTCAAGAGTCAATAATCGATTTTTGTTATCTAGTTTCATTTTTCCATATGTATTTGTGTATTTCTTCATGCTAAGAGTAACCATTTAGGATTGTAAGGATATTTTGTTGTCATATTGCTATGAGCCTTTTTCCAATAATATTCGTTACATTCTAAATTTTCCAACTACCTTATCATTGATTTTTCTTCATTCATTAAAGTCTTCCAGCAATATTATTTCCCTCGAAGTTCCTACTTTTATGATTTGGTCACTGTTCGTCGTTTAGTCCAAATATTCTCAATGTTGTTAGTTTCTTTCAGAAAATACATATATTTAGTTCATTATTGTTTCGTTCACTGCTTCCCATTATTATTTTTATGTTTTCTCCATTTTCTGTGTATCAGAATTGAGACTCTTTTCTCTGCTCTGAATTCTTTTTGGACCCCGTTGAAGAAATGATCATACTCTCCCCTTAAAATATTATTTAAACAATGCTAAATATTAAATTACTTGTAGGAAATCAGCTTCATGGTTATACCTATCCCGAATATCAGCCACAAAAGAATACGCCTATATGAAAGCACTTTATGACAGAAAATTCCCAGTTCCAAAACCAATTGATTTCAACAGGCATTGTGTTGTAATGGAACTAGTGCAAGGTAAGTAGGTACATCTTTATCCATTTTTGTTACAAAAAAAAAAAAACTAACCAATTCCTTTACATTATTTTCAGGAACTCTTCTTAATCATGTAATGGAAGTGAGCGATGTAGAAGCACTCTATGATGACTTGATGAATCTTATTGTAAGATTTGCTGATTCCGGAGTGATTCATGGCGACTTTAATGAATTTAATATTATCTTAACTCCAGAAGACAAACCAATAATTATTGATTTCCCACAAATGATGTCCACACAACATGCAAATGCTGAAATGTTTTTCGAGAGAGATGTTAATTGTGTTAAGGAATTTTTCAAGAAAAGGTCTATTACCTAAATAGTGTTTAACTCTTAAATGCTAATTATTTGATTTCAGATTCAATTTTGAAAGTGAAACTTTTCCTAAATTCTCTGATATTGAAAGGATGGATACATTAGATGCAGAAGTTTTATGTACAGGCTTTACCAAACAGATGGCTAAAGATATAAATTTGGAACTTGGACTTGAAAGTGATGAAGAAGAATCGGATTCTGAAAAAGAAGAAGAGTTTCATGATTCTGTGGACAAAATTGAAGAAATATCTGAGATTCAAGAACCATCTAATTCCTATTCCACAATTGAAACTATTATGCACCAAATGAAAAATACCAAAAATTTGCCAGATTCAGATGAAGTAAAATCTCAAAATTCAGACAATTTCAGTTCACTTGAAGATCTTGAAGACTTTGAATCAAGAAGTGTGAGATCCACAGCCACTACAATCCATCCTGACGAAATTAAAAGAAGAATGAAAAAACAGTTGGAGGCAAAAGATAAGAGGAATCAAAGAAAAAGGTGCGTTGCAAAGGGCGAAGCTAATGCTGTTACCAGAGTGAGGAGGGAAAATAGGGACACTGTGAAGCAGAGTAAAGGTATTTGGGGTTATGAATAAGACATTGTTGTTCTAATTTTTCCATAAATAAAAATTTATTTAGTTTTGAAATAAATGTGTTTTCATAAGAAAAATAAAATTAACAGACTTGATGTGATAGTATACAGGCTGCCTGGAGTAACTTGAAGTACATGGGGTTTTTGGAGATTACTGAATATACAGAGGGTGAACCAAATGGGAAAAAATCATCTGTCATCAACTTCTTTGAACTCAGAATAGCAACAGATATACAGGGCAAAAAAAAAGGATTTTATGAAAGGCACTTTTTTCTTTTTTGCTCTGTATATTCTATATTTGTGTTAATTAGGGTGTATCGCTTGCATTGGCAAGTGCACATCCCTAATGTGTTTGTCACATAGCCTTTAGAGGGTTTTCATGAGAAACGAATATAGACTAATCGGTCTGTATGATTTAGGATGAGAGTTGTTGTCCTTTTCAGGTTTAGGGGTAAAGGTGACCTAAACTTCTCTCTACTTCATGGGTATTTAGGACAAGACAGGCCTTGAATAATACGTAAAGGTGTGAAATAATTGCCACCAGAACCTACTGAAGCATTGCGGGAATGACTGCGTCAACTGTTGTGGATTTAAATGGTTTGAAGGTACATATTGCCCAAATGAATGACCGTTTACCATAATGGGGTCCAGTTGTCGGGCCACACTGGGATTTCGGCGGCGTGTATGATTTTACATTCTGAAATATGGGTTTCTAGTAGTAGTTTTGCAGTGTCTTCGGGAGTCCACCTTGTGTCTTCAATGGTTTCCAAAATATCCATATACTTCAAGTTATTCCGGACATCCTGTTTATATTGGTGAAATGTCATGAAAATAGCCAAGACATTGTTGAATAATTCTTACAACAGCATTAATTATGTTTTTTGTTTGAATATTATATGAATTACTTGAACGATATTTTTTGTACCATTCCACGTTGTTAGCATTCGACTCTTCCATATCAGCATGACTCACTAACTAATATTTCGCTATAAATAGCCAAGCAACAAATTAAGTGAACCATGTAGACGAAATGTTTTCTCTTGGATTGTGGAAATAGTCGCAGCTGCCTGCCTTATTAATTTTACAATGATTTACGTCGAATTTGTAGGAAGAAAAATGACTTGATTGATATAAACAATGCCCGCGCTTTGGGCCTAATTATTTTTTATAGCCGTTTAATTGAAATTTTTAATTAATGTGGCGTAACAGAATTCTTGTTTTTAATTATTTTTTATTAGGGCCGAGCGTTTTTTGTGAGTCATCGGAGACTAAAGTATTTTCATGCTGGTACATAGTTATGACTTGTTTGTTAAGGAACAAATCTATATATTTATTGGAAACAATTTCAAGTTTTCAAATGCTTATTTAGTATTTGAGATTTGTATCAACATTTAGAGTTGTGGGTACCATTATTCAAACCTTTGCTTGAAAAATAGAAAGATCACAGTATTGAAAAATAACTATTTATTGTTAATATTTACAAAACTTTTCCGCATTAGTATCAAATATATGGGAAGATATATCGCTATAAAATCAAAATTTTATTTTGAAACAAAATTTATGTAGGTGATGAATCAATCATTCGTTAATTTGGGACCCATAATTTTAGGAAAATCAAATTGTTCACCACAACCTATTCCAAAAATATTGAGCTATTTGTGTTGATAAATTTTATTCAAATCTGCTGTGCTGGTTATTAAAATAGGCGATAAAGATTCAGGTGGTGATTCCAATAGCATCTGTTGACAGTCGTATGATTGGCATGTGGTATAGTCTTCTTGGGGAAGTAGTTTCTGGAAGAGAAAAAATATTTTAACCATTTTTTTTTCTTGAATCAAAATTCAATTATTATGAATAGTATACATATTGGAAAAACTTGAATAATCATGAATTGACGTTATTATTATCAATATAAATTTGTTACAATTGGTAGTTCGAAATTGCTAGTTTCTGGCTCCGGTTTCATGGGAAGAAGCTTTTTCTATTTATGGTTCTTTGAGCCGGACAGGGAAGTTTTACATAGAAGCAACACCACTTCTGAATAAATTCATTCATGAAGAACTCACAGCGCCCTAAAGCCCAGGAGAGTCAAAAAAAAAAACTCCACACAGCATCAGATATCAACAGAATCAATCCAAACGTACTCTTTACAAGCCAGAAGAACTAATTGATAGGAGTCAGGAGAGAGTCAAAATCCACTCCAAAGTCAGGGTACTTATTCTCGAAACCGGAAAGAAGCGTTCTCATCGTGTTCTGTCTTTGTCGCTCATGTTTATATTTTCATAACACTGACAATGACAGGGTAGTTGTTTTTATCAAAAGACTGTTCCTTGGTTTTAAGAATAGCGGACCAAAAGGCAAAAGAGTAAACTTCGAGCGCTTCAAAAACGAAAAAGCGACCAGAATAGAGCAGATATGCGATTTAGCCCAAATATAAGATGTAAAACAAATCTACATTGTAGATGAAAAATATATGAACTTCCTAACAAATCTTCAGCTGATAACACAAAGAATTAAGTTGCAGTTATGAAATCAGTTAGATATGCCAACTTCATGGCAATTTATTGTAAACCAACTTGAAAAATGTGTACACCAGAATCCCACTTTTATTGGAATTCCACGAAATCCTACTGGAATCCTACGAAATCCTACTGAAATCCCACGCAATCCTACTGGGATCCCAAGGTATTCTACTTCCAATGAAATTCCAGGGAATTGCTTGTGAATTTTTAGAAATATTTTGAACGGTAGCAAACAAGGACTCTGGACAAAAAAGTCTTGTTTTTTACCTTAGTTGCCACTACATATAGCCCAAGAAATTTATGGGTTTTTCAAAAAATTTTGCGAGGGCAGGCTGATTTTTTCAGGGCTGATTGAAGACTGTGTCCTGAGTATTGAGTCAAAAAATCACACTCGAAAGCCTTGTGCGTTCGGCCCTATTGGTCTCTTTCTTATTTTTTTTTTTTCGACAAAATGACCTCAACAAAACTTGTAGATAATAACATTTTGATTAACTTTGCCTCATGCTTTTTTTTTGCTAGCTATTTTAGTTTAGGCGTTGCGGCCATTTTAGTGCTCCAGAATTCGCAAAAAAATTAAATAGCAAACATGCAGATTGTTGTAACTTTAATAAAATTACTGGTAATGTACTCCATTAGGTTTTCGATTGCAGTCCAAGAAATGATACATTACATCACTAATCCGGTGAAATTATTTTTCCGGAGTGAAAGCGTGAAATCGAAATGATGTTTTTTTTTGACAATTCTGGGACCTGTTACCTGTTTGAAAAGTGACAAAATGTTTTTCATTCTACAATCGGCCTAGAAAGTAGACTTTGTCGATTAGATTTGTGCTCGCAAAGTAGACGTTTCCTGATGACCTCCACTTTGCCGCTTTAGAGCGTCAAACTTTGTCAAAATCCTTCACTTTGTCGCTCTAGAGCGGCAAAGTAGTAAAAACGCTTGCTTTTACTACTGGTTTCTCTGAAGCTGAACTATTTCTCATCAAATGCGATTGTAAAAAAAATCAAGTGTGCATTTGCCAATATCAACAATATCTTTCGATCGGCAAAGTACCACTTTGGGTTCTTAATACACAAATAGCTATTGTGCAACCGTCCGGGAAATTCAATTTCGCGAAACGCCACATTTTACCTGCAAAATGTGTCAAATCCTTAGAAACGCTATGCATGCCACAATGTCCACCAGGTTAAATAAAAATTTTCAAATGCCTAAAAGGCCGCACAAGCGAAAGAAATAAAGTTACAATAAAATATCATCAAGCAAAGTAATAGAGAATTTTATTAGGTATAATAATCTGCAGGTTTGCTATTTAATTTTTTTGCGAATTCTGAAGCACTAAAATGGCCACAGCGCCTAAAGTAAAATAGCTAGCAAAAAAAGTCATGAGGCAAAGTTGATCAGAATGTAATTATCTACAAGTTTTGTAGAGGTCATTTTGTCGAAAAAAAAATAAATAAGAAAAAGGCTAATAGGGCCGAACGCACAAGGCTTTCGAGTGTGATTTTTTGGCTCAATACTCAGGACACACTCCCCAATCAGCCGTGGAAAAATCAGCCTGTCCTCGCAAATTTTTTTGCGGCCCAGGTATAAATTTCTTGGGCTAATAGGTTCAAACTAAAAACATTGACTCATCAAGCAAACCAGGGAATCCCGTTCGAATTTCACAGAATCCCATTAAAATTTCACTGGAATCCCACATGCTTGCAAGGTACCAATATCAAGTTATGGGCAGATATGACTATTAAGGAGCAATTTATGTAAATAATGGAATGAAAATATATCAAAAAATAACACACTTACCGGATATTTTTTATGTGATATACAAAATGTGCACACTTGTCTACTACCATGTCCAGAATTTGAACTATCATCGTCTGTCAAATTTTGGAGCAATCTCAGACACGGTTGATCTACTGGACCTAAAAAAACAAATTGGATTAATATAAATACAAATACATTATGTAAAATTCCTAAACTTTAAGTAAGATTTAAATAAACTAAACCAAAATCCATTTATAAATCAGTTATATTTGGATTTTGAAAATGGTTTTATTTTAAATATTTATCTGCAATAACCAAAACAAAATCGCCTCTGTTGAACACATTTTTTTGTGGTTTAGAGATATGATTAAAACTTAACACAGTGTGAATTAAATTTTTTTAAATAGAAATTTCTAATGCATTATGGATTCTTACCTGCCATTAGCTGTGTCCCAAGATGCGAAATATAACTGGAAGCCAATCTGAGCGTTTCGATTTTACTCAATTTTCTGTCTTTTGGTTCGGTAGGAATCAGGGTTCTGAGCGTGGAAAAGGCAGTGTTTACGCTGAAACAGTAATTACTTTATTTAAATCAAAAGAAGATCTTGATGCGTATAGAATATTTAAATTTTAGACAATAATTATTTGAAAAAAAATGTATAATAATACATAGCTATACCAAAAACAGTTGAGGGAAGAACTTTTGTTATCTTAGAAAAATAAATACCTAATTTAAATAAGTTTTAAATAATACTACACAAAGTTGTTCTTCCTGTCTCTATAATTTCTTCTATACCTTTCGCAATTGTTATTCAGATTTTTCAGATGTAACTCATGAAATCTCATTTGTAATTCAGATTTTTCAAATTTAATCCAGAAAATCTCATTTGTAATTCAGTAAATCTCAACAAAAATTTAGAAAATTTGCTTAGTTTGAAATTTATAGAAAAATGTAATCGGACATCCCTTCCAAATAATTGTTCACAGTCCAGAAAACCTGTATCTATTTTTGCAAGTGAGGTTTTCCCAATTACATTTGAAAAATCTGAATTACAAGTGAAGTTTTCTGAATTACATCTGAAAAATCTGAATTACAATTGAGGTTTTCTGAAATGCATTTGTTTTTTTCTAAATTAACTGGAAAAGATGTTGTTCTGAAGATTTACAAATACATAAAAACGTTGATTTTGTGGGAGACAATTATAGGTACATATTTCCATCAATCCAAAAAAATGTAATTCATTATTAGTAGTAGTAACAAAAACAAAAAATGTTTGAAGAAATTATAATAAAATTATAGCTCTTAGATAGTAAAATACCTGTGAGTTCTATCCCTTTCTCTAGCATTAGCTTGGCTTCTCTGTTTCAATGGTGCAGAAAAATCTTGATTTGAACTTTTCCGTCTTTTGTTTAAGTTTGGACCGGCATTACCCCTTTTGGTAAGTAACGACTGTGGCTGAGAAATTTGTGCGTAATCGGAATAATGTAAAAAATCCATTGCAATATAAACTATGATCTATAAATCAAACTCAAACTGCTAAATAACTAGTTGTATTATTCAGTAAATATTAATTTAAGACAATGTACGTTAATTTATTTCGTTACGCTATGGTTTAACCGAAACAAGTGTCTGAAACATACTGGCACTGGCCGCATGTTCTTAATATGGATGGAAAATAATATGCGATCCAGAAGGAGTGGGCCTACTATAACGATTTCGGCCATGAAAATAAATCTCTATCCCTTTACACGTGATTAGTATCAATTAAGTTGAATTATTGTTTTCTTATAAAGAGAGTTGAAAAAGAAATACAAATTATTATTCAATTAACTTGTACTAAAAATAATTATGGACTCATCGACTGAAATATTTAGTTGAGGTCAACTGTATCTCAAAAGTTAAAAAGTTCAGGACATACGTTCAGTTTTCTTCTTAAACTGGACCCAAAAATCGCCTCCTTAAATATTAATATTCAATTAGAAAACACCCCTGTATATTTACGTTGTAAATTCAGCCTCACACAATAGATTTGCGAAAATGGCTTGTGCAACCAATAAATTAAAATATGTATTCGCTTCTAACTTTTGATATATTCCTGCTTCTATATTTAGGCGTTCCTCAGATATTTTCACTTCCCTAATTTTGATTCTTCTACTGAAAAAGGAGTTTCTGGTAGCTTTCATACTCCAACTGCAACACTAGGGTGTTATTGATAGTTTCCATGTCCAGATTTTGATTTATGCAAAGTTTTTCAGGCATTGGATGTCAAAGTACATATACAATAAAAATGTTTGCCAAAGACAATTAAAATATGCTTAAATATTTAACTTTATTTTCTTGTTTTTCATGAATAGAATTAATGTCCTACTGTTTCTCAGATTAATTATTATCAAAGAAAACTCTACTCTAACTAATAATTAAATTGTTACCATTAATTTCACTTCTAAAACAGAGAGCAGTTGTAAACATTTTAATTTGTTTGATGATGTCGCGGTTTGATTAAGTTTGATGGAGTTAAAGTAAAACAAATTACTCTTTAATCAGGTTTGATTAAATTGGCCAAATTGGTATTTTTGTATATAGGATCATTTTCTTCTAGGTCATACCCATTAATAACATAAATAAATCTCCAGACTGAGTGATTATCGGAAATTTAAACTTCTATTACTGAAAAGTTAAGATTATTCAATAATGGTGGCTGAAAAATTATATTTCAAGCAAGAAAGTTCAAAGATTAAACTGGTATAGGGATCATTTACTTATTTAATTAGTTTTCGTCTTGCTAAATGAATGAGCTCCTTTTAGTTGCCGCTTCTAAAGTTAAATCATATAAAACGTTCTCTTTTATTTTGCACGGTCAATTTCAGGATTTCAATTGCTATGTTCAGTCATCAACTATGCCACTGTTATTCCCTTCCAAGTATTATTAAAATGCATTGATATTTTTTCTATGATTTAAAAAATTGTTATTCTACTTACCATATTAGGATCTTAAACAATTGGAACGTTGATTCAGATAAAAGTCAAATTTTAAAATATGTTAAACTCATTAGAACTTAATGTGAATAAATCATCCACATATGCGTAAGGAATTAAGTTTGATGTTTTTTAATGTGTTTTATGTGTTACAAACTACTACATACACATTTAGTATTAGTTATTGTAAAATACCTCATAAAGTAAACCATATACTTGGCTATCTAGATTTTTATTGTAGAAACGTTGAGAGTATTTATCTAAAAGTTAGGCATAGAACTGATGAAACATTAGGTATATCCTGTTCACAATCCGATGTCCACAGGTGCAGCTAAATTTATCACCTTTCCCTATCAAATAGCATTGAAAGGTGATACATTTTACCTGTACCTGTGGACATCGGATTGTGAACGGATAATGATAATAGGTAGGTATATGTATCTGAAAAATGTAACTTTAATTTTTAGGCATATACAAGTTTTCACACAAAATGTATATTTTTTTCTGAAACTGCTTTTTTAAAACAAATCATTGTTTATACAGATTATCCTACTCCCATTTTTTTCTGCTTCCCTATAAGGAAAAAAAAATCCCCTGTAAAAACAAAGATTCCTAAACGGCGGTATAATCTTTAAAGGGCGTGAAGAGGATCCTATTTTGTCACCTCTAATTTATGGCCCTAATCTGGGACCCATAATTTGTAGCAATATTCGGTAAACAGTGGGCTTTTAACATGTGTTTGGCACTTGTTTGATTGCCTCTATTTTGAGTTTTGGGAACTTGTTTCAAGGTGGGTTCGGACATTTATTTCACAGCAAGATAAATTAGGAATACCTATTAATTTGACATAATTTTTATAGGAAACGCCTCAAAGAATTCATGTAAAAGGAGTCATACTTTTAAAAGTTCCCTACTTAAGTGCTCTGAAACTACATTATGTACATACTTTATAACACCTTTTTTTTTCTGTTTAGTAAATCCAAGTTTTTGGAAAAGTACTGGACTGTACCAGGGGCGGATGGGGAGCATAATACCGGCCCGGGAAACCGTTGGCACCGGCCTGGCCTGCCAGATCAGTATTTTGAAACAATTTTATGTATTTTTCTAAAACTAAGTTTTTCATGTAGGTACCTATCTGATGGTACATGATGAGGTGAGATACGTACGTGATATGAATATGTACTCACGATTGACATTGAAATTATGAAGAAAAAATCTCAAACAAGTATCTTTTTACTTTTTTTGTCCAAATTGAAAAAAATGCTGCTGGAAAGTGTTTTGGAACGTTCTAAATGGTTTATTGAAAATCTAAAGGGCTCTAAAGTTGAAGAATTCTGGAGTATTCAAGAAGTTTTGCAGTAATTTCTAAATTGTTGTGACATATTTTTAAGTATTCTAGAGAACTATTGAAGCTCTAAAGTGTTCTAAATTGGTTCAAAAAAGTTCTAAAAGGTTTCCAGTTCTAAATAAGGATTCAATTTAGAGCTTTGAAATTGTTCTAAAATAACTCTGAACTGAACTGATCGAATAACTGTTTTGGGGTATTCTTAAATGATTCTGAAATTTCCGAAATTTTACAGAATGCTTTTAGAAATTCTGAAGTCTTTTGAACTTTCCAAAACACCTCTTAAAGTTCTAAAGTGTTCTGTAGCATTTTAAATGGTTTCTAGTAGGTAACTTCTAAATTGAATGAGAAACGAATTTTGTGGGAAATTTTTCTAGACATTTTAAAGACGTCCCTAAGATGTCCACAAACGACATTCAAGACGTCTTGCTTAGGTCCTTAAGTCGTCTCAACATTTTGAAGACATCGTAATGTTGTAAATGTAATGTAAACCCAGCGTCTTCCAGAGATCTGCCTAAAGACGTCTTTAGGACTAAGACTTCTTCAACGAGATGAGATCGTCTTAAAGACGTCTTGGATTCTCTCTTCAATACATAAACCATTATTCACTTTTAGGCTTGGTTGTACCAAATAGTTGTCATTATGGGCATCTTCAAAACAACTTCTTCTAGAGGCGTCTTTTTTTGATCTTCAGACGTTCAGTCGTAATGTAGACCTAAAAAAGACGTCTTTAAGACTTTGTGTGCTGTCTGGATAGCTGACCATCTCGTATCTATTATCTATTACTCTTTCAACGGATGTTCATCAGTAACATGACATTAAGTTGTGTATGGACTCTACCTGGGCCCGTATTCTCTTCACCGGAGAACAGCGTTCCCTCAAGAGAAGGATTGCTTTGTCTTAGTCGCCCATATTGTAATTTCCATAATACTGACAAAGACAGAGTAATCGTTCTCTTGAGGGAGCGCTATTCCCCTGTTACGAGAATACGGGCCCTATTGGGAATCCCACAGCTACGTACAGGGTAAAACCACCTAGATTAACATTAAGGCCGGGCCTAGAAGCAGCAGAAGATAAATGCGTTCGATGCGACCGATACGTAGAAATGCGCGCTCACCTCGAGTCATCTCTAGGGGCTAGCAGAAAAATGCCTCAAATATTATTTTATTTCCCAGTAAAAGAGTATGACTGAATTTCTTGATAAAAAATAGTTTTTGAAGATGAAGGATTTTATTTTTCCATATATGCTTGAGCCGGCCCGGAAGTAAGCGGCCCTTCGGGAAACTTCCCAAAATCCCTGCTGGCCCATCCGCCCCTGAACTGTACTGTAAAATAAGTTTTGTATAAGTCAATTAGTCTTACGCCGCAAGCCAAATTTAATACCTACATGCCTTTAATCATCATAATTATACCATCGTCATCATGATTCCATTGTTTATTGTTTAGTTTTGGCTTTAAATAAGTATATCAAGTACATGGAGATCAACATTCATACACTGGTTCACAATATTGTAACGTTCACCCGCGCGTATTTTTAATTTTTCCTCAAATTTGCAAATTTCCCCCAACCTTCATAAATAAAAAAATCTCAAATATTCCAAACAAAACAAACATGTATATTTTTCTACTTTCTAAAAATAAATACATTACTTAGGTACAAAATTAACAAACTAAATTCCTCAAAAAGTGAGCCACAACGCCCCAAACCAATGGCACCGCCCTAAACAAAAACACTTTTCCCAAACCGTAAATAACAATAGCAGCTATAATCAAATAAACCGTAGCGGTGATTTTCAAAACTCTGTACTTCTTGAATCCTTCCGCAACAGTGTCCATGGTATCTTTAAGCAAGTAGAATCTCAATCCTCTAACGTACTGAGCGAAATAATCCTCCCAGTTGATTCTCGCGACGTCAAAATTGAACAGCTCTCTGTCTTTGAATGACATTTTTTTGAGTAGTTTATTCGTGTTTTCCACGTGGATGAAAAAGTCCTGGAGGCTGAACGGTTCGTTGGCTTCTTGGAATGCGTGCAATTTTTTCATACCTTTGACTAACCTGGAAAAAAGATACAGGTTTTTAATTAAATCGGTTATAGAACTTTCAAAGTAAGAAGGAAATATTACATATGAATATGAACATATTTATATATGTCAGGAAGTGTTTCATGAGGTGTTCAGATCACAGTATCTACTGATGGGTGAGAAAAATTTCTTCTATTTTTATAATCATCACATTAAAAGATGTCGTTTCCTTCCATCCAAATTTTTTGGTATCTGACTCAAAACCGTTTACGAAATGATTGAGTCCTAAAGCTGTTTCTTTTTTAACAGAGATCGAATGTGATCAATTTCAATAATTCTCATGATATACCTACTATTTAACAAAAACTAGGTAAGTATTGTTAAACTTACATCGGCTTTTTCCCTTTCACTTTCAATACGAAATCCACCATGTGAGCGATGAGAGTATGGAAAAAGAATCTAAAAAATAAATAGTTGTATCTGCAAGTGGTCCTAAAATAGAGTGGTAGCACCACCAGTTTTGGAGTTGGGATTTTATGGCACTCGTAATCGACTATATCGTAAATATCATCTGAAAGAAACTTTGTAGATTTTTTTCAACATATTATGTATTTTTTACCTTGAGAAATCGGGTTATCTATAGCGTTACTTATCTGATACACGGGAATTTCTGATCTTTGCTTTTTGAATGAGCTAAAAAAAAAATAATAATGTTTAGATTTATAGGTAGTAGGTCATGCAAGACCGCATTAAATAGCCTGAAGCCTACATCATTCTTCAGTAAGTACCAATAATATTTAGAGTGGAATCAAATGGTATTAAAAACAACAAATCTCCTTAAAACAGATAGAAACATTGGTCTTTCGAGGCTTATTAATGAGTAGAAGATGTAGACGACCAGACCAACTCATAATGAAGAATTCAGACAAGGTCGTCAATCGCGAATAAGAGAAAATTGTTTTATCAGGTTTGAGTGAATAATTTTCAATAGCTCAAAATTTATTCAAATTCTTTACTCTCCAGTCAGCCATCCAGCAGCAATACAATGATTGACAACATAATCAGCTGGTACCATATCCAGATTAGTATTTTTATAATAAGTGATGCGGCTAATGCCTACGACATTGGACATAACGAAGCCTGCTAACGTGTAAACATTATCAACAAAGGCGCTCATTGGTTCTTCTGCTGTTGATATCACTAAATAATTGAAAAAAAATTTAAAAAATTACGATATATTTGGCAAGAAATGCTTACCAACAGCTGGTCTTTCAATGCAGATGGGAATATCTCGACCTACTCTATTGATGTAATCTTCTGAAACTTGTTTGGTGAATGTGTAAGTGTTGGGCCAATCACCAATAAGTCTGCAACACATAAAATTAGTTGAAAATGTCTCAAAGCTACAAAATTCTTACTTATCTGTTACTGCATTCAAACATTCATCGTCCAAACTTTCACATACTGTAATTAATTTTTCGGCAGTAATTTTGGCAGGGTAAATTTCTTCTCTGATTTCGAGACGGTTTGAATTTGAATAAGCTGTTCCCACGTATACGAATGTCTAAAATGTATATGCACAAATTTTATGGTATATAAAAGGAGATATTATTAACAGTTAAATTTCTTACCCTTAATTTTGGTATTTTCTTGGCCAAATCAACCAAATCTTTGGTAGACCTGACATTGGTTCTTGTAGCATGTTTAATTTTTTCGTCAAACCGAACAGTGGCTGCACAATGGAAAATTACATTTACATTTTGAACAAACGTCTCTATGTCTTGTTCCGACAATCCAACCATTGGCAGAGAGCAGTCACCTTCAAGAATTTCCACTTTGTCTAAAGCAGTGGGGTTGGTGCGTTTTAGCAAATCGAAAACCTGAAAATTTGATATTATTTTGTGCCTACTTACTAGAAGAAACATTGCAGATCGATATTGTAACTGTTCCATACATATGGGGTATTAAAAAAAGAACATGAAAAGAAAATGCTACTGCAGACTTACAAAATTCTATACAGGGTGTTCCGAAACTATTGTGCCAAAAATTGAGGAATGATAGAACTTGCCAAAATAAACGTTTTTTACTTATAAACCCATAGGCGCATGCGCTTTGGTTAGGTGATAATAGCACATTAAAATCCGCACTGTGGTAGCCCCCTTGCACATGAAGAAACGGGTTTGAATAAGCAGAACCTGTGTTACTAAATAATACAGAATCCAAAGAATGCTTGCAGTATTTATTTAAAATAATGATTCACATCAAAAGATGCTCAAAACTACGACCACCCGCCTCAATGCATGTGTCACAGAGTTGTAGCAGAAATATCGATTAAATTTCTGCAGAAAACCCTTCCCGAAACTGTTTTTCTGTATGCCAGACAAAACATAGGGTACCAACACGACAGACCACCACCACATTACTTGTTAGCCTTAAGGGAACATCTCTACGAAACATCTGGAAAGAGTGATTGTTAAGGGGGCATGGACTCCACGTTCACCAGACCTGACGGAAGGCGACTTTTTTTATGGGGTCATATGGAAGCTCTTGTTTACGACAATCCAGTTGAAAGAGCTAGAGGAAGTTAGTAGGAAGGATTGTTGCAGCAGCTGCTGAAATTCTCGAAACACCATGAATTTTTCAACGGGTTCAGGAGGCTAAGCTACGGCGGTGTCACGCACGTATGGAGGTGAGTGGTCGTAGCTTTGAGTACCTTTTGCTGTGAATCTTTGTTTTTAGTAAATACTACAAGCATTCCTTGGGTTTTGCATCATTTAATAACACAGTTTCTACTTCAAACACGTTTCTCCGTGTGTAAGGTGGCTACCACAGCGCGACCTGTAATGTTCTATTATCACATAACCAAAGCGCATGCGCCTATGTGTTTATAAGTAAAAAACGTTTATTTTGGCGCGATCTATCATCCCTTAATTTTTGGCACAATAGTTTCGGAACACCCTGTATAGCATTGCTTATGATTTAGAAATGTAGATTTGCTTCCAGGAACGATGTGTTGGATTCTTCACAAACAGTGACTTATACATCTAGACAATGATACTTAGTTAATAGTAGGTACATTAGGCCAAATTTAATAAAATGAGGTTTTGCTATATACCTAATAGATTATACCTATATTAGCTGAAGATTTTCTTGGTAAACAGAAAACATTTCTGAGGCGTAGGGAAATACACCTTTTTCGTAAGTCTAGTATATAATGACTGACTTACAGCAACAAAAAAATGAAGATTGAAGAAAAGACGTTAATTTTCTGTATTTTAATTCTTGAGATTCATTGCATACTTAACTATATTATAGTTTTTAAACACCAAAATAAACTAATTTCCTTACAGCTATAAGGATTAAATTGCACGATTTTCTTTTATTGAGGTGCCCTAGCACAGACATCTCGTATTTCAGTCTGCCTAAAGACGTGTTCAGAGTATTTCATTATTACATTACTCATTTTATTACTTTCAATTTTTGGCTATTCCAGGCGCTATAGGCTCTCTGAAAACAATGATAGCCTTTAAAAATAGATGCCTGTAAAACCGGCAACAACAACCCTTTGAACCGGTAAAATTGCAGGTTTCTTCATTACCTTATAAGGCAATGAACCTTTCTCGCCGTGTGATTGGTCAGCCACCGCACAAAACCCCTATAGTTTTTTGCGACCTGCTCCCTGGCAGAGCTAGTCGACGCACATTCTTCAGTACTAATAGAACAAGCGAAGAGTTCGCACCCTCGCGCCCTCTGAATACTCTCCAGGAGCAAATCCCCAAAAACCCCCGTTAGTACGCGGGATTTATAGTAAGATAATACTCTCTGTGTCTCAAGGCCTGACATAGTCTATATTATTGATTACAATTCATGTAATTAACCCCTAATTGTTGCAAGTCACCTCGGATGAGCAAAATTCTCTCCTACGCTTGTTTTTGGCTCTATCTCTCTCACTCTCGACGGGTTCCAACGCACCTGTATATCATTGTGTTTTCTTTTCATCTCAGTGTAAAATTCCCTAGCTGCCATTGTGAATAGTGGTGATAAATTAATGAATAATCGCCTTGTGGATTTATCTGCATGAACCGGATTAAGCAAGTAAGACCGTTACAATTTCTCTAACAGTCGAACAATAAATACTGATTAGTGATTCGCTTGCAATGCACTATAAATTGAAGTGTTTTCTAACCTTCAATGCAGAAATTTGGTTTTCACACTCGTGAAATTAACATTTGTACATTTGTATATAGAAATTGAGCATATATAAAAATACTTTTCTTGCACATATTGTTTACAGACTTCAGCAGAAAAGTGCTCAAATTATTAACTCTCAATAAATAAAAGAACTTTTAAGGATCAATAAACATTTTGTGATTGCAGTGAACTGATTGAAGTTGACGAATTATTAATGTTGTGCTCTCGTGCATTTAACTAGTTAATTTGTGTTCTCGTTCATTGAACATTTAACCATAAATGATATATATTATTATCATTATCAGATTTCCCTACTTTTTATAAATCAAGATACTTTACTTTAGAAAACTTATTTTCAGTATAAAACTTGTAGTTCGACTGGACGTCCAATTAGGAATTTTTAAATAGGATTTGATTGCTGACTATACCGAATTACTTTCATTTAATAATTAAATTGATAACTACATATTCTATTTCAGCGTTTTATTTGTATAAATGAGAATCAAGGCACCCCTAACCCAATAGAAGGCTTAAATGATCCAACACCTTAATGGGTTATTTTTACAGTCAGTCAAAATAAAAACTTTTGGCATCCCTGGTGCGGTTTGACTAAAGCCCAAAAAGGGGCAATAGCTAATTCCGTCACAGCCTTTCTGGATTTTAGGAAGGCGTTTGACACTGTGGTAGGTACACAGCATTACAAAGGCCACTTAAGAATACCCCAGAAACGCAATACTACAGATAAAACTTTACGAGACAGCTGAGAAAGTCAAAGTAGAAAGAGAAGTATGGCAGGAGGACATTAGAACTTTGAAACTTTTCATCTTAGCACTTGAGGATAAGGATGTCTTTATAAAGCGATCTGCATGTGGATGACATCGAAAGTTACTTAAACACTGAACTAAAAGAAATGCTTATGAAGACAGAAACATGGATTCTGAACAAGAAAACGCTCAAAGAGCAATGGAAATAAGAATACTTTGGGAATCACCCAGACAGAAAGACGAGTCACTGAATGAGAAGCAGGACAAATGTATACAGGGTCCTGCAGAAAATGTAGGTATATACTATATACTCCTAATCCTAAAACGTTTTCACTTTGTTTTTGGCACACTGTATGGTCAATCACGTACGTACCTATTTATGTAAATTGTTATTTGAATAAGTTCACTTTTTAATTTATACGTTCTTGTATGTAAATTATTCACCTAATTGGAAACATCTAATTTATCCTGCTTAGTTCACCTCACTATTGTTTTCTGGTTACTTTCATTTTTAATTTATTTACATAGTAATTTGTTTATTCAGGAGCCTATTGTAACTTATAGTAGAATAATTACATGAAACGATGATCTTTTTTTTTATGGAACCAATAGGTACCTATTTAAATTGAAAAAAAAATCCAAAACAATTCTGACTAAGGTATTCATAGTTTGTGGTCTATGATTGTTGGTCAATCATTATACAAATAGAACAATAATATTTTTACTCTATTATTGGGATCTTTCAAAAGTATTAACTGGCATACCAATGAGTTTTTGGAACCACACTAAGAAATTTAAGATTCACGTGAATGCAAATTAATATCTTTAACTGGAACCGGAATCTTCTCAACAGCCCTTTTCAATATCATTTATTTTTTAACATACTTAGGTAGGTACCTAATAATTACCCGAATCTATAGGCAAATTGTTTATGGCTGCGATACGTTAAATCAAAGATTTTTCTACCCTCCTCTACAGCTTTTGTTAGCAGGAACAAAATGTTAAACTTGTTGAGTTTGAGTAGGTTAGGTACTTACCGGTGACTCAAAAATATCCTGAAATCTCTTAGCAGCTGGTACATCCTTCTTAGTCCTAACCAAAATGTAAACTTTTTTCACCGGCAACGCCCTCAGTACTTTTTCCAAAAACAATTTCCCTATAAATCCAGTAGCACCGGTCAAGAATACGGTACTGTCTTTATAAAATCGCTGTATATCGGATAGTTCAATTTGGGGACCTTCCATAATAGCTGGATTTTTTAATTCAAATTGTATGATTTACAAATGCACAGTACTAAAGAGGGAAAGCAAGTAACAGAATAAATCAACGTATTTATACCCGAATTGTTGGGAATATTCAAATATTTTGATGTGAATTTGTGCAAGTCAAATGTGAGTTTTATAGTGTGTCCCAAATTAGTTTACACCTCAGAGGTTTACACCATAATGCAAGGAGAATGAGGGAAGTCTTGTACAAAAACCAATGTTACCCGTTTCTAGTTTAAATTTGAATTTAAGCTAAATATTCCAGCCTAATAAGCGTTTCATTCTCTTCTGTTTGGAAAAAAAAAGATGTCTTGTTCATTCTTTGGACGTCCATCTGTAAAAGTTTATTCATCCTCACAGTTTGCGAACACATTCACAAAAAATGTAAAAATGTATCAAAAATATATTATGTAAAAGAAAATGTAAATATAAAAACTCAAGTATAGGTAGGTATGTAATTCTTAAGGCAGTTTTTGAGATGTTGATTGTCTTTTTAGTTTTTCTTCTTGAAATTTCTTAACAACTTCCGGAGGCACGGCAAATAATTTTTCTGTTTTGACCACTGGCGTGAAGTCCAAGTTGACGATCTAAAATTAAAGCAATAAAGTGAAATTTTCCATTCTAAACCAAAATTCTTATACTTGTGGTAAGACCGATACAACATAACTTCTATATCTTGGATGATTTGCTATGGGATTTCCGTGAAAAGTTACACTTCTCAAGCCTTTCAGCGGTCTCAATTTGAAAACTTCATTCAAATCGTTGAAGCAATTTCCATGAAAATAAAGTATTCTCAAATTTGGGAACTTGAGCAGGCTCTGGAATAATTTCTGGGTATTAGATTATCATTTATTTTGATTTATCTGTACCTCATCTATGTGACTGATAAAATTGAAGGAAAAATCAATCCAGCCAAGTTCGGCAGGATATTCTATAGCCGCATCAACCAGTAAATTGAGATTTTTGGTGGATTTCAATTTGTTGTTGTTAAGCCAAAGTGATTTTGTTAAAAACCGTTTTTCGGGGCCTTTATCGGGTACTCCTCCTACTCTGGTGTATCTGGCATTTTCCAAACCAATAGCTAAAAGAATATTGAGGACGAGTTAGAAGCTGAAAATTTAATGGATCCTTGTCCCTGCCCGGTAAGATTCTAATATAATTTTTTTTTACAAACCTGGTAAGGCAGTATCTAAATTTCGGATATCGCAAAAAGAAAAATCCACCGGAAATTCACGATACTGCACATTCATTATACTTGGAAATTATTTTCGAAAAAAAAATGCCAAAACAAAATTCAATGTTTGACACTTATTCAAATATGACTAACAATAGAAAAAAAATTACCTTGGATCTTTGTCAATTTTTTAAAAGAGAAATCCGCAGGTCTCCCTAATTCCATTTTTCTGAGTTGCTCCTTAGGAATGTTGGTCATTCTCGAATAAATGCGACATTTTTTTCAGGCGACACAATGATAAATTTCCACTGGCGAATTCTGATTGGATTTTAAACGTCTGATTTTGATACAGTCAATAAAGCGTCAACCTTTTCCGTGTCCCTAAGGTCGATTTTGAACACCTTTTCGTGTAACTTGATACCGGTTCAAGGAAAATTCTACACGGGAATCGGGAATGGGAAACTATTTTCCGGGAAAAATCGATGCCGGAACTAATTAGGTAGAGTATTTATTTAAAATGGTTGAAAGTATATTTTGCGATTCTGATGTTTCAAATATATTACACCTGGGTACGCTTCATAGTGTATACCTGGATTTAATTTTTTTTTTTTCAACAAATAATTACCATTTTTTATTTATTTATTTATCGTCTGTTATTTAATTTAAGTGTGTTGGAGTTTAGTGGCATTCAGACGTTTCAATTAAAACTGATGAAAAGTTTTCTTGTCTCGACTAGGATTTGAACCCAGGACCTTCACATATCCAGTGCTATTCCGATCCTGTGCATGTGATGCCGAAGTCTGCAGTGTGCAGTATACCGCCAATTTTTTTCTCATAGTGGTGGGTACAACGGATTTTGCATGGCTCATATCTGGTAACTCTCCCAGTATTGTTTGGTCTCTATATTGTTTCAAATCGAGATTACGTAATTGGCCGTATTTAGGGCTCCTCAGTATTGGTTCCGGTTCAATGAAGTTCAGCTCAGATTCAACTTTCGCAAGTTGACACGCTTTTTCATTGACTTTGTAGCAAATGCGCCCAATTACTCTTTTAATTTTCCTTGGGCAGCTACTAATAAAATTGTGGAGGGGGTCTATTCGCAAATGAGAGAAACAACTGTAGTAACGTTTACACAAATACTTTATTTTACTTAAATAATCAAATCCCAATTTGCAAGTACAAATTACAAAGTACACAGTAATTTGTTGTTCTCCTTCATTGAAAACTAATATTTTCCCCAAGTCTTATTACAGCCACCTCTATGTTTGCTAATTCAATTTACCACAACATCTTTCAATTTTCAACATCCTATAAGATTCTTCCTCCATTTTTGGAACCTGAATTACCTGAATTATTCTTTTCATAAAGCCCTACTTCGATGCTCTCAATATCTTATATCCAAATCATTTACTCTTCTACACAATTCTAAATGGATTCGATACATATTAAATAAAACTACCATTACATTTAATTATAAATTTTAAAACCCCTGCGAAGTCATTAACTGACAAACTTATAGAAAAGAGTTATTTACAATCATGAACCTTGTTTAGGCTTTGTTCGGACTATTTATTAGATGGTTTATGTGAAGTTTGCACAAAATCGGTCGAGCGGTTCTTCATTTATCACATTACGTTAACACAATATTTAATAGGTTTTTAACTCAGAGATATTTAATAATTCAGAGGCGGTACGAAGTTCGCCGGGTCAGCTAGTTACATATAAATATAGATAAAAACTATTGCCAAATATGTTTTATGAATGTTGGATCTATTATATTGGATAAATATTACATATAGCATTGTTCTACTGTTTCTGTAATGAAATTACCGCGCAACGGCGAGCTTCGTTCTAGGTATCAGAGATAGCGCCGTATACAAAATGGTTTGCAATGAAAATGTGGCGGTAAACTTGGTATCGGTTATAAGAGATAGCGCCGTATGCGGGCTTAGTGAATTTTTTTCATAAATAAGTAAAATAGGTAATTTTGTTTTTTTTGTCTTTTTTTTTTGGATTTTTTCGATTTATTATGTTAGTATGGACAAAGACAAATCCAATAAAGCAAAAATCATAAAAATCAGTCCAGCTGTTCTCGAGTTATAAGTGCTAGAACCAACACAACTGTGTTTTATATATATAAATAATAATGATAACAATATGATCCTCTATTTATTGAATAATTAATTTATTACAAAAAATGTGATAAATGAAGAACCGCTCGACCGATTTTGTGCAAACTTCACATAAACCATCTAATAAATAGTCCGAACAAAACCTAAACATTTGGTTTGGCTAGGTGAGCCCGTTCTTGAGTTATAAAATTACAACGAAAAGTGGCATTCATTTTTAGGGCTTTCATTTCAAAACTTGCCACCCACGTTATCTGCGTAGAAAGGTATATTTGTGGAAATTGCCGAAACACGTCAACAAATTTATCGAGGGGGAAGGCTTTTTACGTAAAACTGGACTTCGCCCCTTCAACACCCTAAGCCCTAGGGCTACCTCCCCAAAATTTCCAAATGAGAAAGGGGGTCGAGTGATAGATTATTTTAAAGAGCTGTTTAATCTGTACATTTTGCCGTTCTATTTTTTGAATTTGACCTCAATGTTAGAAAATAACACCAGTGGCGGACCTAGGAACTTTGGGGCCCGACGCATAAAAAAAATATGGGGCCCTATCATGCTTTTTTTAAGTATTTTTCTTGTGGTGTTGGAGGCATTAGCTGACGTCACACACATAAGCTCATTTTCGATGAGGGTACAAACAAACCGTGTGTTTGTCTCATGGCCGTTTTCATCAACTATTTTTAGGGAAGCCTTAACGATAAGTATCCTCCAAACTGACATTTCTCCATGGAAATCTTAGGAAAACTGTCATTTTAATTTTTAAGGAAAAGGTACTAAAGCCTAGTACTCATAACTGCGAAATTCGCATTTTTTTGACATTGCGTTGACAATTTGACGTTTTATGCGTGTATCAAACGTCAAATTGTCAAAGCAATGTCAAAAAAATGCGAATTTCGCAGTTATGAGTACTAGGCTTACGGTGGGTATTATAAAACTGCTTTGAAAGTTAACTTGAAGTTAACTTTTTGAATTACATGTAATTCCAGAAGTTAACTTTAAGTTAACTTTCAAAGTAGTTTTATAATACCCGCCCTTAATTATTAATCAAGGCTTCTCTTAAATATGTAGTTGGCGGAAACGGCCGTCAATGATTAAGGTTGTTTGAAAGAGGTAGGTTGCCTGATAACTTAATGACGTCATCCGGGATGCCTCAACATAATGCAAATCTCCATAGGGCACCCCAGATGCCTCATCAAGTTACCCATTATCAGGCAATCTATTAAGTTTAGGAACCTTGGTCAATGATATGTTTTTCTGGTTTTTCTCCCCAAAACTGACGTTCTGTTATTTGTATTTGTAACGTAATAGCTATCGCCTAACCGATGTGTGTAATAGTCCTTAAACGCTTTGTTTGTTCCCCTCTTGAAAGTGAGGGTGTGACGTCAGCTAGTGCCCAATTGAAAAACAAATTTGAGAGTCAGGCAAATATAAATTTTCCGAAGAAAAGAATGCGGACAAAAAATTGACAGGTGTGTCAGCTCCTTTCCTTGACAGTACATCCATAAACCGATTGGCTATTATCGTTACCTTTATAAAAACAAGTTTGACGAAGGTTCACGATACAACCCACCAATCACCATGTGTGTCCGCCATTTTTCTGCTCTTCGCCCTTCAGGCGTCGCCGGCAAAATTAAATTTGCTAGACTGTAAAAATATATGAGACACTATGAAAACAAGTTGAACGAAAAAAATTATTATTTGTAAAAATTAACACAATTTAATACAATTTTTTATGTTTAGTTTTATTTATTTATTTTACGTTGCACTACATTTAGTCACCACCGACAACAGCGCATTCGAACCTTTACCTGCTTTTACTACAGGGTAACACAGCCGAGGCGGTCAGCTCCTTGCAACAACAAGCGAAATGAAAAATATTTATGTGACGTCAGCAAATCGGCGCGTTTCAGATCATTTTGAATTTCGCCTTCAAATGCCTGTAAAAAACTTATTTAACCTTGTAGAACTTTTTTTTTTTGGTATATATGCCTGAAATAGTCCCTCCTTTGGGATTTGGTACTTAAATTACGTATTTAAATTTTAGTGACAAAGCCCATTGTGTAAACCTTAATACAGTTGTTTCTCTCATTTGCGAATAGACTTCCTCCACAATTTTATTAGTAGCTGCCCAAGGAATAAAAACAGCATCAATAAAACCGCTCGCCATTTACCATCTAACTAATTAAGAGAGTACTGGCGCATTTGCTACACCTTTTTATCCGATACATCCTGGTATCCAATGTAGCATAGCTGATTCAGGGCTTGTTTGTTGTGGAAGAAGATCCCAGAAATTCCATAATACTGCCTAACAGGATCTCAATGTTCATTGTCCACCTTGTTTGGAAAAGTCTTGTATAAACTTACCAAAGCTTCAGAAAAAGATATTTTCTATGAATATTGGGTTTAACCTACTTCTTATCTTTTGATACATTTTAATATGACTATTATAATTATTAGTAACTTCTTCATCGAAACTAATAAGTAGGTATATTTAGATTGACATTCAAAGAGCTATTCCGGTTTCTGAGATTCTCCACGCGAAGGCTTAAATTTGTAAAAGTTGTTTTAGAACTCCAAAATATTAGGTGAAATAGCTATACAAGGGAAACAAGTACTAGATTTTAGCGCGAGGTGTGGTTTAACACAGCGAGCGCTAAAATCTTACTTTATTCCCATGTATGATACAAAATTTTTTTTTGTGACGGGAAAATCTCAACATTTTCCATCTATACAGTATTCTCTTTGAGAAAAAAATTTGACTGGTACCTATTACTTTTTTCCTGTGGGAAAAAAAAAATCACTTTTTTCCCATGGGAGAAAAAGGGATATTTTTGCCCCTGTCAGCAGGTACAAAAAGTCTATTTTTTTCCCGTCACAGAAAAAAACAATATTTTTTTTTTTTGTGATAGTCTCTATTCAGTGTGGTCTGCACATTTATTTTTGTATTTTGTAGCCTACATAAGTTTTGCCTGCTCAAACATCTTCAACTGATCAATTTTTAGGTAGGGCAGTAGCCTGTATAATGTTTCACTGGGTGTATTATAACAGTGCTAGAGAATATGGTTTTTGTTGATTTGTTCTGCAGTCTTTGTTTTAACCCTCCATTAGTCGCGCGTGTATCTGAGAGATACATGCCTATTATTTTTGCAAATAAATCAAAAAGGAAAAACCCTATAATATTATGGCTTGTAGTAATCCTCAGGCAACTTACTCATTACTTTCCCAAAATTACATGGTCGTACTTCCTACCTGGAAATTTGGAATTTCCAAAAAACTCCGGGTGCGCTCGGCTTTATACCTATATTATGCTAGTACCTATAACATATTAGCATATGTCTACACCTCCTCACTGCTCCCAAGAATGGAGCAATTTTTGCATGAATACTTTCAATGTGTGCTCCCCATGTCAGTTTGTCTGTTAATATAAGACCTAAGCTATTAATTGGCCTATTGTTCTTTTTCCCACCTGATATACGACCATACATAGACTGTCTTTTCAACATTTATACTGAGTTTATTGTAGGAGAGCTAAACAAAATAGATTACTAGATCTTCATTCATAATATGTTCAAATTTTTTTCCAGTTTCTCCAGAGTATATGAAGACAGTATCATCATAAAATTTCACATATCTAGCCCTCAATCCAGCATGCTTTCAGACCTTTTACATATAGAAAATACTCTAAGGGCCGATACTTACTTTTGCTCTCGATTAACGAATTTGATACGTTGTCAAAGTTTTGCATATAAACCAAGGTCTATAATAAGTATGATGTGGTTAGAGCACATTCTCACCCCTGGTTATTTTTAACGGCTGTTAAATGAGAGCAAAAGTACCGGCACTAAAGGTACTAGCCTTGGGCAATAGCAACAGTTACATTTTCAGCGCTGCTTATTTCATCACAGGGCTGTAGCTAGAGTCAAATGTGTGATAGGGCATGACAAATTTGGCATAGGGCACACACTACTTGCCCCACTCCCTTAAATTATAGGTAAACAATCTGGTGGTAATGACGCCGAAGGAAAATTTTTCAATAAATAACATCTCTGGTAAGTAAACAAAATGGCGCTGATTCTCGCGCCGCCTTGAACCATTCGCACCAAGAATAATACACAAAAATAGTGAAATCCATTGGTAAGTTCATTCGTGTCCTACTAGCAGAGCCCCCACCAGACCTGAAGCCGCCCGCGTGCGATTTCATATTTTAGCGCCTCTTAGGGCCGAATTTATAGTCACTCTTTGAGGTTTCCTCAGACCTTAAGGAAGCCTTGAACGTTTAGAATTGACATTACTAACTTGTCAAATATCAGCAAGTGTCCATTCTTAACTCACTCCAAGGAAGAGTCAGGAAACGACTATAAATTTGGTTCCAGGTGGCCTTAGTTAGGGTTGGCGATTAAAAAAACGAGATTTGGAGTGGCATCGATTCAATTGCGTGGGTCATCATGTTTTTTAGTAACTGAGTACATAAATAATAATACTCCAGAGTAAATTTGCAAGAACCAACAGGAGAATTTAAATTACAGGAAAATTGGCCCATTGGCTGTACGAAGCTAAGAGGCGACCTGCAGCCTGATTTTTGCTCGATACGCACGAGGGCGCAGGGCAGGGTTCTATTAATAATCAGTCTCTGTCTGAGTCGCATAAGATTTTACATGGTACTGAGTAGGACAGGGCACCATTATCAGATATTAAATAAATTACAATTTTTTTTTCACATATTTTTTCTCGTGCGATTTGCCGCCCCTTGGCTATGCCGCCCGCGGTGCACTGCACGCCTTTGCGCTTGTGGTAGCGGGGGCCCTGCCTACTAGCATGATGCAAAAGAAAGTGACATAAATACATGTTTTTTGCACTAATTTCACCAATGGCGGTCTTCGCCATAACTACTACTACTATTACAGGATAGCTTATCATCATAAGGCCTGTGCATATCAAATCTCAAGCCCCCCACCACGCCAAAGGACCAGTGATTACGTAGGCAGCGTGTCGTTTCTCGCCTTGAAGTAGGGTGTTTTCACCACAGGTTATGATCCCATGATAATATTTTTCATCATGAATGTATATTCTAAACTACGACCGCTGACGAAAACAGTTGACGACGTAGTTGATGATGTCATCACTAGTGTTACACCATATGGCCGCAATTTCCACAAATGAGGCCGATAAGCAATTCTGTGTAGTAGTGTGTATTATTGTATTATCCTTGCATTTGCACTCTTTCGAAACGAAAAACTTCCTCTGTGTAAACGTCAAACATTGTTGCATACATTTAGGAGTTTTCGGAAACACTTATGCTCGCACTTACTGGATTTCAGGCCTTTTCATTATCTACTCTCGAATTTCCTAAAGAAACCTTAACGCATGTTGCGTTTTAAAGGTAGGGCATGATCATTTGAAAAATAGGAAATTGCCCCCCTTGGCTACGGCCCTGTTTCATCATTGATTTGGGTGCACTGTTTTGTACCCATTGAGTATGTTTTCAGCAAGTTATGACATGTCCCTTGATATCCCATTTTTTTAAACTTATCTAGCATCAATGCAATATCCACAGTATCGAAAGCCTTTTGTAGATCGACAAACACATTTACAACGTATCTCGTATCTGTTTTTATCTAACATTTATCCTCTCAAATCCAAACATTCCAATATTTCTAATTCCTGCATGCAATCCAATTGACATGCTTAATAAACCAAAAAAGAAACAACAAAACAATTATTTGATAGTACAAATTTATTTTACATAGGTATAAAAATAAGAATAACATTATTTGTTCGAATTAGAAAGAGGAAGTAACCATATCAAAATAGCAGAATAAATAAATGGACAATATTTCCTCCTTCTTAGTTCAAGTAAATAATAAACTAATGTAATGTATCAAACAAAAAACACAGTTAAAAATAATACTTTTTTCAATAAGTCAACATGAAGAATACCAAAAGAAACAATTCTACTTTATGGTATCCTTAAAAATAAAACGCATCTTAATCATGATTCGTGGCTACCCATAAGAGAACATTATTTGTAAATAGCCTTACAAAACTTAACAAGAAAATTAATAGCTATTTCCTCACAAATCAAAATATTATTTTTTATATTCGAGAAATACTTGTACCCTACTCAACTATTCCTTACTTACCCCAAGACAAAGAGTCTTGGGAACAAATCTCACAATGTAAAAGTGATAGATATTTGCACAGATTTTATTCCGATTGGTATGAGGAGAAATGTCAAAGGCTTTCTTAGTGTTAAAATAAGGCTTTTTTTTTAAATCAACTAACCTATGGCGAACCACGAAACAGCGAAAACAACTAAAACTAAATTATCTAAGCAACAGGAACTATAAGTAAATTATCATGCTCGAAAAAATTTTGAACAATCTTACTTATTGTATCCTTACTTACAAAAACATATTCTTCTCTATAATAGAAACTTTCATTGCTAACTTTAGCAACACTATTCTCCTCATTAACAAATTCATACAATTCTTTAAGAAAATTAACAGCAATTTCATGCAAACCGAAATAATTTGTTAATAATGTTTTTCCTAGTAATACTTGCATGGCTTGTATCGGGGTTGGTATCATCAGTTTTCCCAAAAATGATGCAAAATGCCAGAGACAATGCTCTCGTATCAAATATATTGCCAACTTCAATATTCTTTGTTTATCATGGTAACAAGCACAGCATTTGTGAATGTACTGGAGCATTTTGGAAAACATTTGTAAGATATCTTCATCAAAATTAGCAAGATTGTTTTGCAAATATTTTATTGATAAATTAACAAACTTTGCATCACTAATGTCTGTTTGACTTAATATTAGGAATTTGATTAATATCTTATAAATATTATTCTCAGAAACATTATAAAATGAATAAACACCAACTGAAAAATCTTTATCCAAACACTGACAACATTCAAAAAACATGAAAATTACCTTAAAATAACACATCAACAAATAGTTCCTTGCATTATCAATTTTTAAGGCGTGAGTAATTAAAATGTTCAAAATTTCTTTTAGTGGAAAATTAAGTTTATCGCTTTTATCAAATCTGTCCACCAATGTTGTTAAAACTGTAATTTGCAAACATTCTGTTAAGTTTTTGGACAAAATTAATTTTAGCGTATCATCTAATGTATTCAAAGGCGCATGATTAATAAAAAATGGCAAATTATTATTAAAGCGAATTCTATCAGTATATACATTCATTTGAAAATTTGAACATTCAAAAGTAGGTAATAACATTTCAAAGCTATGAAGATTGACCAAAAGTAAATCCATTTGGTATGAGTTATTTTTTTGAAAAAGGAAATCTGCCAAATTATCCAAACTCTTAGAAATTTGATAAAAACCTTCAGGTTTTGTAGGTTTTTCAGATATGAAATTTATGAATTTTTCATTCAATTCTCGCAAAAGTAACATAAAATTTCTTATAGTATTGCGTTGTTTAATAAATACAAAATCTTCAATAATAAAATCGGCTATATGTTCGATAATATCAGGTATATCTTTCTCCAAACACAACGACACATATGCTCTGGCAGCAAAAACTCCATAAATATCGGAATTAGTTTTAATCAAAACTATAAAAGCTTGCAAAAAAATTTCCAATCCCTGTATTTCCGGAGTAAAAGGTCGCATTTTCAATTGAGATTCCGCGAAAAATTGCATCACTGCCAAGGCTGAATCGTTCAAAGGTATTGTAACAAGCCTTTGGTAAAACGGAAGAATAATTTCTGGAAAAAGTATGAAAAGGTCGTCGATAGCCCTATGGCGTCTGTTGTAGCCCATGTGGACTCCTAGAAATCTATCGATAAGGGATTTTTGTAATTGGAAGCAGGCGTTCCTGAAAAAAATTAGACTAATGTACTTACAAAAACATATTCTTCAATTTTCTCTTGAACCCTTTGCTCGAATTCGATTTATTTTTCATAGATTGTAGCTTGATTCTTCTTGAACACATCTGAGGTATTACCGCCATTGAATGATTCGTCTTTATATCATGTACAGGGATTGAAAGAAAGTCAGTAATTTTTTGAGACACCCTGTAGAGTGAACCACTGAAAATTGCTAGTTTTCTCGTTTTCGAGACAGACTCGAGACGATACTCGGAAAAGACGAGACGATACTTTAGGTCTCGGTTGCGAGACAAGACTTCGTAGTTCATCGGTGAGACGAGACAAGACTTTATGAAAGTCTCGTCTCGTTGGTCTCGTGGAAATCACAAGTTTAAGATGTTCACCACAGTGTCTAAATTGTTGCTAGCAAAATAAATCAACGCACATAAACTGCTGGACACTCGACACTTTCTCATAAACAGATTTTTAGACCAAATTCAAAATATCATATTTTCGACACGAATAAAGTTTTTTTAACGCAGTTTGTGGATTTTTATAGCTTGTTTTTTTGCGGATAAAGCTTGCCGTACATTTCTCAAAGGACCATAGGATTATGATATACGGGGCGATAAAATTGATTTTTGCTTAAAAATCTGTAAGTGTAAGTTCAAGTGTCCAGCAGTTTAGTTGAATGAGGCAGTTTTTTTCATTCCTGCATGATATAAAGGCGAATCATTCAATGGCGGTAATATTACAGATATTGAAGAATGAAGCTACAATCTGCGGAAAATAAGTCAAAATTGAGCGGCGGGTTCAGAAAATTGATGTCAAACTTAGGGTGAATTTTGAGAACACACAATTCGGAGAGTTATTATCAAAAAAAATCCGTAAATTTGTTCTAAGAATACAGAAATAAACGGATTCAACTCAAATTACTACTTACCTAACCACCCAATTTCTATTCTCAAAATGCCGCACACACTCTAAAATAACTTTGGGAGCATATTTCATGGTGTCATCATACATAGTTTTATCGGACATCAGAAGCTCAGTACAATTGAATGCAGCTGCCTTTGTCGCGTCTGTAGCTTCACCGTTTGATAAAATCTTCAATATATGGTCAAGAGTTGTTTTTATGAAATGCTAAAAGTAGATAATAGTAAAATATATATAGTTTAGTTTCAAATAGATCTTGGAAAACCAATTATTCTATGATCTACTTTATGTAAGAAAACCTAAAAAAGCTTACTCTATTTTGATCTGATTGACAAAAAGCATGCAGAACCAGTCGTATTTCAGGGTTCTTCCTTATTGTCAAATTTGGTATTTCCTCAACACATTCAATCTTGTAAAGCGTTTTATTGAACCAGTAAATTTTCAAACTTGCTCCCCAATTGAAAGAAAACCTGCTCAATAATTCTACACTCTTCATTGTTGGTCTACGCTTGCTAGATTTTTCGATGACCTTTATTACTTTTTCAACCACATCAAAATTGTCAACAAGTAAACGACGATGAAAATTGCCAATGTACTGACAACAATTCTAAAAAAAGATTAGAAACATAAATAAAGTCTTTGGATAAAAATTGATATTTTTCAAGAGAAAAATCACTTGTACTTACATTATATAGTGACTCTAAAATTTTGTCTGATTTATTTTTAGCATTGAAGTTTTCATCTGCCTCATTAGAATCCTAAAATATTTTAAAAAGATATGGTAATAGTAAATATATTTCCATAAGTACCCATGTTAGTATCAAATCAACTACCTTCACAAAGAAGGCAACAGGAAAACTGGGAGAAAAAATCCTTGAAACTAGACAATTATGTACCCAATTATAATGCATTGCTTCAATCAAGGCTTCTAGCAAAAGAGATGCTTTGAAAATTCTTTTTTGAGTCGTGCAATCAAAGACAGTTGGTAACTCTGCTAGGAGAAGTTCAAGGATGTATTGTTCCCTGCCGCTGTATTGTATCATCATGTTTGTTAAGTTTCTTACTTGATCTAGACCCTAAAAAATGAAAGGTTCAATAAATTCAACTCTTCAAAAATAAAATATCTTACTTTGATTGAAAGAGTATCGGAACATTTATCGATAAACCCTATCAAAAATGGCCCCTGTATTATTATAGGTGTTTTAATAACACATCCTGCTAATTGACATAGTTCTTGGCATACAGCGTCATCATCAGCTACCAACCGTTCTATGCAGGCTGCAAATTCTTCGCTTTTCAGATGTTTCAAAAATTTAAAAAAATCAGGACAAAAATCCTCTTCAAATTCTAATAGCGTATTTATTAATGAGTTGGGGCCATCTGAAATTTTAAAAAGTTTGTTATGACACATCAATGTTTTAGTTGTCAAGATTGCTCTGATGCAAGGCCATATTTTGTAATTGACTTGATAAGAGAGCAACATATTTGTTCTCTTATTATCACAGGGAAACTTCACACAACTAGACAGTTAGTGCGCGTTCACATTGACACCGCTCGAGCGGTGAGCGTTGTTGATTCACTTCATGAACTGCTTTGGTTCTTTTTTTTTCCGAAAATAAGCATTGGTAGTCGTGAGTTTTCCGGAAACAAATACTATACATCAGCGATTCCCAACCGGTGGGTCGCGACCCCTAAGAGGCACAGGGTTTTTGGAGGGGTCGCAAAATATATATTTTTCTGCATCAATTGTTCCGATCAAAAACAAAAGAGTACTAAAAGACTGACTTCGTAGGATTCTTCCACGCATATATGAGGGCAATGCGTTAAGTAGATAAATACCTCAAATATTCAAGAACGCGAAAATAATCTGAAGGGTGAATCGTGGATTAAAAGTTTACTTCAAATTCAAAGTATGTAGGTACTTCAATAAATAATTAGCAAAATAAACAAAACAAAAATAATTCAATGAAGGACAATCTTAGCAATTTAATACAAATAACTTAAAACTATTGACTGGACGAAACAGTTATGAATAAAAATAATGAGACGAAATTCTAGGGTCATAAACCTTTAAAAAGAGGTATGACACGACCCCTATCCCCTATTCAAATTTGGTGGGTTGCGCTCCCCCCAGCTAGGGGGTTGAAGCTACAGGGGTGATAAAAACTGGGTCCCCCTCAAATAAAAAACTGACGTGTCTGAGCGTTTTTCCAGATTTTCATTTCAAGTCCAAAAAATCGGGGTGGAAAGTTTTCATTGGCCCACCCTGTATTCTATCACGTAGTTAATTTTTTTTGCTTCTAACTTATTCATATTTATTACGTTATCTGTTTACCTTTTTTTGTGGGGGTTTTTGTCGGACAAAGGGATTTAAATTTATTCGGATTAGTCGAGTATGAAGCGCCGGAGATAAAGCAGCGTCAGTTGCGTCCGAGAATTATCGATTTTTTTTTCTACACAAGTTTTAGATTATTGTGTCGTGTGCCCATAGTGTACCAATTGACTTCTGGATTTTGGTAAGTAGTACCAACAATTATTTTTTGGTAATTGGGATTTATTGAATCTTGAATAAAAAACCCTTGATTTTTCTAATGTCTGAATTTCGAACAATCCAACTTATTTTTTTTTTTTTAAATTTAAATTGTAATTCATTTTGATTCTCTATAACTATTGGCAATTAGTAAGATATACAGGGTGTCCAAAAATTAGTTTTCCAGTAGCTATTTTGATCATTAATTTTCTTTTTTTTGATTTGCCTTTTCAAAAGTGCGTTAATGAAGAAAGTATAGATGAGCTTGTGTGAAGGATGAATGATCCACTGTTGTGAGATAGAATGCTGGGTTCTGGTTATGTAGTATGTAGGTATTGTTGGAATAGAACGCTGTATGCTGGATATAGATACTGTTGTAATAAAATGCTGGAGTGTCCCAAAAAAATTGATTTTTAGGTCCACAATTTTGCTGTTTAAGCCACTTTAAATCCATAGCTATTCTGTCACTGGAAATTATCCAAAGATGTTTTTGGGTCTTAAGTCTTAATTATTGTAAATTTCAATAAGCCACTACCACGAGCAACAACCCAACTAACCCAACACAACTTACCCAACACAACTTACCCATATTAACACCTTGGGGTAAATTGCTAATGGACGTCCACTAAACATTTTCAGCTGAAAATCTACAGGTGCATTACACACTTTTATAAAGATAGTATAGCTATCCAGTTATGAAGCTGTATTTTTCAAACAGGCAATTTGAAAGTTTTCAATTTTTTTGAGACACTCATGGAGGTGTTGGGTGCACTTTTGGAAAGCCAGTCATTAACGTACATCAATAAGTGTTTTCAATATATTTTAAGCCTTGGAACCTTTAACATAGAGTTGTCACAATGTTTTTCTACTAAATTTGACCTTATTTTTCTGGCTGGTGAAGTCATAAATTTGAAAAACTCAAAGAAATAATTTTTGATGTAAGACCAAAGGAACTCTATAGAAATCTGACTCAAAGTTTCAACTTTGTTGGCTCATATCTTCAGAACCGTTTCAAATATTGGAATAAAATTTATTTCATCTTGAAGAGCATCAAATTCTGATTCAGAATAGTTATTCTAACATTGAAATATATAGAATATTAAACCGAGTAATAGATGATTTTGTGAAATCATATAGAATAAATGAAATTTTTAGAGACCAATAAGTGTTTTCAATTTGTTTCAAGCCTTGAAACCTTTAACATAGAGTTGTCACAATGTTTTTCTACCAAATTTGACCTTATTTTCCGACTGGTGAAGTCAGAAATTTGAAAAACTCGAAAAAATAATTTTTGATGTAGAATCAAAGGAGCTCTATGGAAATCTGACTCAAAGTTTCAACTTTGGAGGCTCATATCTCAGAACTGTTTCAAATATTGGAATGAACTTTGTTTCATTTTGAAGAGCATTAAATTCTGATTCAGAATAGTTATTTTTACATTGAAATATATGAAATATTAACGGAGTAATAGATGATTTTGTGAAGTCATGTCGATAAATGAAATTTTTAGAGACTATTTGCATGTTGCGTCGGGCAAAACTGCCCGACAGTGATGTTTCCATTTAGGCCACGTCGGACATACAGGGTGACAATTTGACACTTAGACAAAAAATACTATATGAAGAAGATCTCATTTATTTATTTATTTATTTATTAAAAAAACATTTTGCTGTAAATGTTTTTAATAACAATTATTGAAGTTGCGTTTCACTGATTATCCAGAGCAACAAATTAGGATTTGATCATGTCTTTTTGGTAATTGGTGTCCCCTGGGGAGGCCGTCCACCATAATAGGTTAGGATCCCATTTGTTGCATTGAATATACTATATACGGTAAGTGTAGCAGTGGGGCACTACCGAATACCGGCGAGAAATGGTTGAATTATAATTTGGTGTTGGGTGTCAGCTGCACAACGTGAATATTCCGCCTATAATGGAGCTTTAATAGAATAGCTGAATGATCTTCAACTTTGCCGCAGGCAAAATTGTTTATGTGTTTTCTAGATGAATAGTCAATTGATCATATTCTATATTGTAGCTGAAATGAAATGGTCACGGCTTCAAAAGGGTGTTTCTCATTTTAGAAAAATCATTGGGGGGGGGGGGGGCAAGCCCCCATCACCAAAACAGGAGGGGTTATATTGGAAATAGAATATAGGACAAAAATTGAAATAAGATAATGTTTTTATACTTATAGAATCTTATCTGCTATACCTGAGCGGCTAAAGTAGACCTTTTGAAACTCATGGTCATTGGGGCGAATTTACCTGTATCCATAATCCAACAGGTTATATTTTCTTTTTTTTTAAGATCTTCCTAATAGTATTTTTTGTCTAAGAAATATTCCTGATTGCTGCTTTTCTAATTGTCACCCTGTATATGCTCGACCTACACTTAAGCGTAATCATAGCTGCCCGACGTACGTAGAAAGTCAAAGGGATTGAATTGAGTTATTATAAATGGAGTTATGACTTTTTTTAAATAATGATGTTTTGTAAAGTAATACTCCACAAATAATTTTTTCACTCAAAAACTGAAGTGAATGTAGAGTTGAAATTTTGAGGACCTTTTCCAGAAGACTCAATGTAAAAAATACGAAAAACTCAAAGGGATTGAATCGAGTTATTATTAATGGAGTTATGACTTTTTTTAAATAATGATGTTTTGTAAAGTAATACACTCTACAAACAATTTTTTCACTCAAAAACTGAAGTGAGTGTAGAGTTGAAATTTTGAGGACTTTTTTTTGGCGCTTCATTGTAAAAAATACTAAAAACTCAAAGGGATTGAATTGAGTTATTATTAATGGAGTTATGACTTTTCTAAAATAATGATGTTTTGTAAAGTAATACTCTACAAATAATTTTTTCACTCAAAAACTGAAGTGAATGTAGAGTTGAAATTTTGAGGACCTTTTCCTGAAGACTCAATGTAAAAAATACTAAAAACTCAAAGGGATTGAATTGAGTTATTATCAATGGAGTTATGACTTTTCTAAAATAATGATGTTTTGTAAAGTAATACTCTACAAACAATTTTTTCACTCAAAAACTGAAGTGAGTGTAGAGTGGAAATTTTGAGGACCTTTTCCTGAAGACTCAATGTAAAAAATACTAAAAACTCAAAGGGATTGAATTGAGTTATTATTAATGGAGTTATAACTTTTCTAAAATAATGATGTTTTGTAAAGTAATACTCTACAAATAATTTTTTCACTCAAAAACTGAAGTGAATGTAGAGTTGAAATTTTGAGGACCTTTTCCTGAAGACTCAATGTGAAAAATACTAAAAACTCAAAGGGATTGAATTGAGTTATTATTAATGGAGTTATGACTTTTTTTAAATAATGATCTTTGTAAAGTAATACTCTACAAACAATTTTTTCACTCAAAAACTGAAGTTAATGTAGAGTTGAAATTTTGAGGACCTTTTCCTAAAGACTTATTATTGTAAAAAATACTAAAAACTCAAAGGGATTGAATTGAGTTATTATTAATGGAGTTATGACTTTTTTTAAATAATGATCTTTGTAAAGTAATACTCTACAAACAATTTTTTCACTCAAAAACTGAAGTGAGTGTAGAGTTGAAATTTTGAGGACTTTTTTTTGGCGCTTCATTGTAAAAAATACTAAAAACTCAAAGGGATTGAATTGAGTTATTATTAATGGAGTTATAACTTTTCTAAAATAATGATGTTTTGTAAAGTAATACTCTACAAATAATTTTTTCACTCAAAAACTGAAGTGAATGTAGAGTTGAAATTTTGAGGACCTTTTCCTGAAGACTCAATGTGAAAAATACTAAAAACTCAAAGGGATTGAATTGAGTTATTATTAATGGAGTTATGA